TTCAATAAAAAAGTATTGAATATATTAAACATAAATAGTAGTAACAAAATCAATGGTTTACTCTCTTTATGTAATGTATGAGTGATATCATCAATGGGTTTGCGAAGGGAAAGCCGACAGGCGTTTTGGCACTTAATTCATACCTAAAATTTTTATCACTTATAAGTTAGACATCGATTTGCGCGTCAGTTCACACATTATATACAAAAAAGGGTTTTTTATTTGGCATCAAAATAGTTATACAACACTACAGAATAGGCAGTGCTCTCTCAGCTAAACAGACAATTCAATCAACTATTCATTAAATGCTTTGAATTAAAAAAAACTTTTACTATGTGTTCCCAAACTCTCTTAAGGCTATAAAGCGTTGTGTTGTACGGTATATACGGTATACTATATAATACTGTATTAAGATTACAGACTGTACTGTATGTGCTGAGAGATTAAATAAGAAAATAATATACATTTTCTGGTTTTACTAAATTTTTGTATATTATATAAATAAAAATTATTTTTATAATACATTAATAGTTATATTGAATAACAATTTTTAAAGTTGATACTTAAATGAATACATTTTTGGGTCTATAAATTTAATGTCACTTTTGTTATACAAATTACTTTTGTGATATTACCAACTTTCCAAAAAATAAAATAAAATAATACTGTGATACACATGTAATACATTAATGGCTATAATAAAATTAATATTTTTTTTAAATAACATGTTAATAAATTGATAGAAAATTTGACGATATTTTCAAATATAAAAACTTTTATTTTTATTTTGTTTCAAATGCAAAATATATATTTTATATATTTGTTTTATAATTTAAAACAAAGTTAAAATATATAATTTTTTAGAGTATACATTTAAATAGTATATCTATATTTTATAACAAATATATACGAATATATTGTGTTTGAATTTTGAACAAAAAAAGCAAATGTAATCATAAAATGATAGATAAATTTAAATAATAAATTCAAATTCAATGATATGTACGCCGGAGTTGACACACATATCACAACATATGTGTCTCTCATTGTTTTCGAGGCATTACATGATTTGTACACATATTTTATCGTCACTTTTCTGTTAATATTAGATCAAACAAAACGACACATCAATTACTAGAAGCAACACAATTGACTGTATATTAATAATAATAATAATAATAATAAAGATGTGATGACTTATTTAACAGATGGCTAACAATTTATTGAGTTTTACTTTTTTATTCACTTTACTATATGTAATGTAGTTATTATCGTACAGACTGTTTAACAGTTGTCAAAAAATTATTTTTATATATAAAACAATATACAAGAGATGCCAAACTTATCTTATCCTTTGTCTCCCATTTTAGTTTGGATGTCAACTCATATTGAAATGCTTTTCCTTAAATTGTCTCACATATCACAACAAAAGTTTGTCACAATATATCTAAACTATATAAAGCAATAACCATCTGTTTCTTGTATTGTTTTCTATGACAAACATATAAACTGACAGTTGATCCAAAATAATTAAAATACTATAATAACAGAGAGAATAAATGAATATAGTTTTCATATCATGTCATCTAAATATTATATATAGAATATTCTTGAGTTTATTGTCCTATTTATTAATAAATATAATCAAATAACACTTTCTATAGAAATAATATGCTATTTTGGATGCTATTACTATAAGTTATACTAAAATATCGTCATAAAAAATATTTTTTTTATCTAACATTGATTCCAATAAATAGTAAATATAATATTAAAACTACAATTTTAAAATAATACTTAAGTTAAGTTACCTGTAAATTTAACTCTTGATATTTTTGATAAATTATTTTTAAAAATTTCATAAAAGTATTCTATAATTAATTTATATTATTTTTTATACCTTTACTTTATTTGTTAGCGGCTTTACTGTTATATATTATCAATATTTATGATATTAATATTAACGTTAATTTTGTTAAAATATTAACGTTCAATTACAACGATTGCTAATTATTAAATAAAATGCATTTCCGATTATTGACTTAAAATTATAATTAACATTATAGTATAAAATTTATACCATATCATTTAGTAAAAAATCTTATTTTATATCTATAAAAATTGTCAAGTTAATTTTTATAACTTGTTGAATAATGTTAGTATTTATAAATTGTAAATTTATATCTGTTATAAACTATGAAAATATTTAAAATACTGTAATATGTTTACTGTTAAATAGAAATAATGTTTAAAATAATAAAATATAACCAAAATTTAGAAATAAAACTATTGACACATTTAGAAGTGTTAATGCAATAGCAAACTGTCAAATACAAAGTCAATTGAGTTACACCTAAATTACTAAAACAACAATCAATGAATTGCTTTAAAGTAAACTCAGGGATCACACACTTTGCATAACATTTTACCACATTTTGCTTTTAAAAACTTTATTCAACAATATTATCGATTTAAAATATCTTTTTATATACAAATAAAGGCATAAAAAGATTTTTAAATATATATATATATATTTATATATATTATACACAATCAATTAATCATTTTCATTCAGTAAACTTATCGATAGTTTATTTAAAAACTGTCTTAACCTTAGGTTTTATGTGTTTAATAAAAGAGATGGCAAAGAATTGAGAGTCAAATTTGCTTAACATTTAAGAGTCAAGAAAGAGATGTCGAGAGGAAGGCATGAGATAAGAAAATAGGATCTCATATCTTGAGTCTGAGAGTTGATATATGAACCTAATTAAGTGCAATATTGCAACAAAACATAGTTTTCACACAACTTTCTATCTCTCTTTCATCAAACTATCTCTCTCTCTCTCTCTCTCTCTCTCTCTCTCTCTCTCTTATCCACTTTCTCTCTTTATGTAGCACTCATTTGCAACAATTGTACGGATCAGATGAACCACTTTTGTCGCTAAAATTATTCACCAGAAAAACGATATATTTGGGTGAGTGAGCGGATAAGTGATGATAATATATATGATAAAATAGCAAGAAATAAAATTGTTTTGTAATTAGTTTTAATTGATATTTAGATGACACTCTGTATTGCAGTTTTATTATAAATTAAATATTTTAATTAAAAAAATATTTTACAAATCTTTAACTAATAATTTAAAAATATATAATTTTTTTTATTAAATTTGTATAGTAGATATTGTAAGCAGCATTAATAAATATAGTAGCTTGTATTATATTTGAAATAATTTTTTAAAAACTACAAAACTAATTGTAAAATTTATCTTAAATCAATCTCAATTATATTAAATGATTACTAAAATTAATATAAGCAGTAAACTAATATAATTATTTCAAAATGACTTACCTGAATTAGAGACTTAATAAAAAATATCAATTATATCCAAATTACTTATTTATATATTAAATCATACTTTGATTTTTAAAAATTGCTGAATAATATGTATATCTTTTAAAACAGTGGACAAACACATAGAATAAAAATATTTTAATCACAACTTTACGGCAATTATAATGAACCGACAAATGAGTTATAAATTATATTCTAAATCACAGAATACTTCTTCTCATATCATATATAAAATTATATATAACTTGTATGCGATTATTATGTAATGTTTGTATAAACTATTATATATATATATACAATATATTTAATAGATATGTATGTAAGTGTAAAACATGACAAAAATGTTGATATGATCTTTGCTGAGCCAACACTTGTGGTCAAATGTTTTTAACCGAAAGCATTACACAAAAGTAAAGTCAATATGAGTTTGGAATCACTGTTAGGCAAAACAGCACCGCTTTGGGAAACTCTGCCTATTATTCATAGAGCATGAGCTGACATAACCGGCAAGTTGTGGCACTCAGATACCAGTGCCATATGCCAAGTGATACTACTTTATTACTATTATTACAATATCTTTGAGTATTGCCATCGGTGGCCACATTATATATATATATATATATATGATGGTGTCTCTGGGGACGGGTATAAATTTTTTTTACTTTAATATAAGTATATCTCTGGAGGCTTTCTGGGAACAATAGTGGACATTATATTGTGCGGTATATAATTGATAGTATATTGAATCGATATTAAAAATATTACAAAAATTGCTTATATATATAAATTGTATTAATAAAATACTGACAATACTGTATAATAAAACCATTTTTAAACTATATAACTATCAATACCTGAATGGTGTTATTAATTGCACAAATATTCAATCATTATTTGGTTTGTTTTATAATACAGATATTGTTATGATTGTCTCTGAATACTATTATTAACTATGAAACTTTTAACTAGTATTTCAAAATTATAATAATTAATAAGTTATCATAAAATTACTATATATTTATCGTTTATATCAAAATTTCTAATAATAATGATAAAATGTGCCACATTTTACTATTATTAAATCTAGTGATGTGTTTCGTATATTTAAGAATAATAAACAAATTTCATTACAATTTCAGATTTTAATAATAAATAAAACATAACAATAAAAATTACCACAAAATAAAAACTACAGAAAAAGTTTGAAATTTGGTTTTTAAAATAAAATCTAAATTATAAAAACATAAAAAAAGTAAATACTTTAAATAAAATCCCTTAATTTGTTACTGGTCAATTTAATAAATATATTAATACAGTACTATTAAATTACAATTAGTTTAGTGTTTCAAATTTTTAATAATATCAATAGATTTGTATAAAACAATTACATACAAAGGCTTGTTGTATGTATAGTAGAGATAGTATGTAAATTTAGTTAATATATTTTAAAAGGGGTTAATGTTGTTGTCGTTTTATGTACTAAATTGTTTGTAGATTTTGTTTGTTAGTTTAATTTAATAAAAACCAAATATGGTTACAAATTGGTGTATATTAAATTATTACAATTTTATTATATTTTATTACTAAAACATCTCAATTGAATAAAATAAGCAACAAAAATGTTTTTGTTATAAGTCACTCTATTAATAATTAATTTAATTATAATAATAACATAATAACAAAAAGAGAATTTTGTGTATAGAAACTCATATTAATATATATCAGTCAAATAATATATTGAATTATTATAATCACTTTATCTGAAAAAGTTAGCAAATAATTAATTGTCTATCAATTAGAAGTATTACTATTATTAGTATTGGCGGACACTTTTGGTAATTTAGTCATTTCCTTGTCTAACACCTGTAATAATGATTCATTGAGTTGCTCTTTGTTTGCTTCAACCAATTGGCCGAACTGTTGCAACTGTTTCTGAAGTGTCGGGTGACTGGAATCAGTCATTTTGACCGCCCGTTTGAGTGACTGTAACATAAGCATCACTTTATTCTTGCGATAATATATCTCGAAGGCCAACAAATGTGTTTCGAGTCTCTCTTTGGACAACATCTGAAGTGGTGTCAAGAACTTGATAGCTTCGGCCAAAGGGCTTTCGGGTCGTTCGAGTTTCTTGGTGTCCAACTTTTCCTGATGTAGTTCACTGGTATTCTCAGAGTTTTTGTCATTTTGCTGATTCTGTTTATCATTTTCTGTCTTCTCCTTCTCGGCAGTCGCGGCCTTCAGTTTGGCCTTTCGTTGTTTGTTCCGTAGTTTCTTTAGTTCCGAAGCCGACATATTCGATATGTTCTTATCTTCCAACTCTTCATTATCACCGAGTGGTTTGTCGTGTAACCGTAAGTACACTTCAATGGCAATCTTTGCCGCTTTGAAGTAAAAGATATGCGACTTCAGGACGTCTTCGAGTCGAAGCAATTCGATGTAAGAGCGAAGTGTCATTTTACGCATACAATAAGTATGGAAATCGAACTGATCCTCATTGATCTCAGCAAAATGTCTATCAATTTCAATGCATCTCTTGAGCGCTTCACCCCATTTCTCTTGTCGTTTGTAAGCCAGAGCCGATTCCGTCTGAAACCACATGCATTGCATTTCATTAAGGTTTTCACTGGCCGGCACTCCTTCACGAGTAAATTTGGCGCACATTTCTTCGGCTTCGGTAACTTTGTTGCCGCGCAACAAGTATTTGGCGCATTTAGAGTTGAGAAACCTATCGGCGGTGTCCAGACTCTGTGCCTCATCCATGCATTTAATCGCTTCATCAATTTCTTCGGCGTGCTTATGGATCTTGGCTTTAACCACATAAAGTTCAATGAGTGTTGGTGTATGTTCCAGTGCTATATTAGCATACTTGAGCGCCTCTTTATAATCTTTGAGATAGTCATAATGTTGAGCTAAGTAATAGTAGACCCATAGAAGACACGTTACGGCCTCCGACCCGCACGAGGATTCATTGCTGTCAAAGCTATCAAAATTTATCAAATTTTGTACATAACTTAACATCAAATCCTGTATTATCTCAATCTTTTTCGGCAAACTTTTGTTATTTATTATTAACTTATGTGTTATATAATTATTATTTGATTTATCTCGCAATTCATTATTATAAATACTTTTAATATCTTTGAATAACGCCGGCTGTCCTTTTCGTAAGCTTTTTCTAAAGTAGATGTCAATCATTTCTTTAAATAAGTTCTGATTTGTCACAAAATTTAGTGGTAATCGAAATGGCGATTGACTTCTGGGATATTGTCGTTGAAAGTCGAGATAGAGTTTAAGCCTTTCGTTCTCGTGATCGCCAGTTAAACCCAATGCCCGCTCTAATAGATAATAATAGTTTGAGTTTTCCGGATTGCGACCAATGAGCTGATCTTTAATTAACTTCTTTGCCTCTTTGAATTTCCCGTTGGAAACCATTAATTCACTTTTAAACTCACTTATGGCCAGTTTATCACAAATATCCGACTCGTTTTTCTCCAAATAAGACAACGCTTCGGAATAATTGTTGGCCTCCTTTAGGATCATCACCTGATAGAGCAATAATTCCGAGTTCTCGTAGAACTCACTCTGCATTCTCTGGCCACCACCGGAGCCACTGTTGGCCGCATTGTTTTGGTTATGCATCGCTTTCTGTTGCTGTGATTGACTTGTTTTGCGGAACTCATCCAATATTTTTGCAGCCATTTCGTAATCTTTAAGTAAATGATAGGCCATTGAGTAGCCGATCCACGAGGCTCTTTGGGTTGGTCTCAATGCAAACAACTGATACCTCGTGTCTCGATAGCCCTCGAGATCACGCATTTGTATCTGCAATAAACTCAAGTCACGCAAGATCTGTATGTTGTCTTTGTCCCATTTGAGTGCATTTCGGTAACATTTAATGGCCTCATCGTACTTATGGTCTGACCTTTGAAGCAAACCATATACGTGCCAACACACGTGCGACTGAAGATCATTGCGTAAACCACGCCTCACATAGTCATAGGCCTCATCTTTACGGCCCAAACAGTTGAGTGTAAGTCCTTTCATGGCCAGTGTCTCTCCGTGTTCAGTGTGTTTGGGATTCGTTAGTATCTGTTTGGCAAACTTCAGACCATTCTTGTATTGTTTGTGTTCATAACACTTGAGGATCTTCTTGAACAACGCGTTCTCCTTTGGTGGCAATGGCTGTGATGGCGACATCTTTGCGGTGATCAATGATATTGTCGACCAAATGGGACACTAAAGGCTAATGTGGACCAGTTGTCTGTCGACAGTTTGTTTCGAGTCTTCAACACGTGTTTTAATGTGTCAACCAATGGATAACTTGATGGTCAGTGCAATTGTCTTCTTCTTCTTCGTCGATGATGTGATTGTTTTCAATTTGGTTTTAAAATTATCGATAAAATCATATATAAATCATAAATATTACTAATAGTATATAAACTAAAATGTTTTCTATAATAATAATTAATTAATTTTAATCAATCAATCAATTGTTATGTGTATTGTTGTTAGCGATAAACGACATGTGATTCAGTCAACGATATGTTAATTACTGTAATATTATTATTATTACTATATATTAAATATAAATATAAAATGTGTTTCAATGTGTGGTTCAATGCAATCGATTCATTTGATTCATTGATACATCAATTCTATTGTTAAATAGATAATCAATTGTTTAATTCAATTAAAATATTAAATAATAATTATATGAATCAATCAATGAGTCAATCAATTGAATAGATTTTTTGAACGCATTTCTCAATACATATCACACACTCCTCTCTCATGCCATTCATTATAACAATGGCTGAACTATTGCCGCACCAATGCATTCATAGTGTCGTACATCAAGTACGTCATATATACTACAATACAGTATTACAATAATTGTATTTCATTTATTAATTACTTTAATTACTACTTACAAATTTGATGTAATAATGATGATGGTGATTTTATAAAATTATTACACATATAACATTGATTTTACTATGATTTTAATAGTATTAATGTTATGTTTTATATTATTTTCATTTTTATTATATAATAACAAATATTTGTTTTGATAAAATTTGCTAATTAATTTAGCTATAGTAATTATCAATGAAATTTTTTTTACGATAATTCATATTATAGATAATTGTAAGATATTATTTATATTAACAAATATTTAATTTATTAATTAATATAAACTATTATCATAATTATTTAGTAATATTTAAGTGCTATTAATTATAAATATATTTTTTTTATTAATATATATTCTATAGTATAGAATCTATAGTATAGATATAGAAAAATAAATTGTTTTTTAAATCGTATTTTAATATGTAATAATTCAATAAAATTAATTAGCAATTGATTTAATTATTTTTATTTAGTTATAATATAACATTTGTTTAAATTTAAATAAATTCATCACATTTAACTATAATTAAGTTACGTTGATTCAATAATTTAATAGTACGGTAATTGTATTTTTAAAATTAATTTATTATTATTTTTATTACGCCATGAATATTGTTGGTATTTAATACTATAATAATCATAATTAATTTATATAAAATAAAATCAAACTAGTAGACACTACAAGCAATTTATTTGAAAAATTAATATTAGCATGCAAGTTTATTTGACTTGAATTATCTAAAATAATAAATTTATAATACTGTAGTAATTAATAGTGAAAATATTATATTTATAGATCGATAAAATAGATTAAAAAATTTCAGGAAAATTAGTGCTTAGAATATATACTTTGTTGAGAATATTCTGTAAACATTTAAAAAATATACTCTCAATTATTTATGCCATTGAATTTCAAATGCATTATTTCTCTAGACTAGTCACGATATAAGATTATATAATGACTTATATTTATCTAGATGATCAGGATAGTTTTTATAATAATAAAAATTACCAATTATTTTTAACTATGCATTATATTATACAAGTATTATTTTATGATTATGTTATAGTAGCTATTTTTATCAAACTTGGCATAGTATAATATATAAATTATATTTTATTTAAATATCATCTACATATTGGTGATAACATAAAATTAAGTTCAATAAATTATTCATGTCTACTGAGAAAAAGCTTTTTTCTATTGAATACTTTATTTGTCAGTGTTTTAGTACATTTGGATAATAATTGCAAAAATAATAAATGACATTTATTTATTGAGTAAAGAATTTTTTTAATATTTATGTGAAATTATTAAAAATAACTATTTTAATAAGTATTTTAATAAGTATTTTAATAAGTATTTTAATAAGTATTTTATTATAGCTGTTTTAATGACTATTAATAAAACTATGAAATAACTAAAAATTAGCAATTACAATACATACAGTATTTAATGTTGTTTTATCCAAAAAATGTTTTATCTGTTTATTGCTTATTTTATAATGCTATAAATGCTATAAATAAATAGCTTATTTTATCAAAATACATTGATATTTTCCTGTAAATAATCAACAATTTTGTTTATTAAATGGATTCAAATCTACTGATTATATGTAAGTAATGTATTGATATTGTTTTCATATTATTTACTTAATAACTATCAAGTTTTATTGAATGCTCAATTGTTTATTTAATTAGATTAATTATTTTATATAACATTAATATAACAAATTATTAATAATAAGTTATCAGTAAATAAATTAATAAAAATATAAATTATAATATAAATAAATAAATATATATATATATATATTGTATATGATATATATAAATAAAAAATTATATAAATTATTTGTTAAAAAATATTTAAGACTTGATTATAAAATAATTGCTCTTGATTAAAATATATGCTAATCAATAAATCATATAACATTACTAAACTACTGTATTTAATACTATAATACTAACTACAATAACACAATTAGTTTTAATATTTAGATAAAAAATGATAATTTAAACAAAATAAAACACTCGAATCCATTAAGACATATGAAGTATTAGTTAACAATACTTTAATCAAAGCAATTATAATATAATATTATAGTCTTGGATTGGACAGAGAGTTAGTTGGTTTGGCTATTGATATCTTTGGATCTTTATATTGATATTCAATGCTATCAACATTTTTAAAATATCGGCCAAATTTAGTATTTTGTGGCCAATCACTTGATAATAATACCACAGAATAGCAAATAATAAGATAAATTATAAATATAATATATAATACACCAAATATTGCAACTAATGTATAGATTAATGTATTTCCATTTTCATATACTCTATCAATAACAAAGTATAGGTTAATTGAAATTACAATAAATGAGACAATTGTTGAAAAACATTTCATAAATATTCCGTTAACGAACTGACCCATCACTTTGACATTTGATGTAAATGTTAGCACCGGTAGCAATGCAAACGGCAACATAATACTCATTAAGGCATTTAAATAATCATTCATTCCTGTCAAGCGACCAATGTCTGAGGTTAGGGTTACGGCGAGTGTCGGTGCTATGGCTATAGTTCGGGTCAATAGTACTCTTTTCCAACGATCCCACTTAAGATTTAAGAAGCCCTCCATAACAAACTGTCCCGAATACGTGCCCGTCATAGTTGATGACTGTCCGGCGGCAAATATACCAACAGCCCAGATATACATAGCAAAGGCACCAAACTGACAGCCCATATATATGCCAGCCTTGTAAAGATCGGCATCAAATGGTTTGTTGTTGTCTTCAAAATCACTCGTGTCATAGATTGAGTTATTCGTGGCTTTACATATCTGAAGCACATCTGCGTTAGATTTACCATAGAGTTCGTGAGCAAACACTGAAGTGACAAATATGTTTATCATCAGAGAGACTCCCAGTGCTAATACAGCCTCAATGAATACATAACGGTTAGCATCACTGATCTCTTCTTTGATTTTGCGATCAACTTTGCGTGATTTGACTAAAGCTGAGTGAAGGTATAGGTTATGTGGCATTATTATACAACCGATAATACCGACGGCCTGTAATAAAGATTTACTGTCACACCCTTCACAGTAAGGTATGACCACTCCTTTTGCAATATCAACGGCCAATGGCTTGACTTTGATGAACTCATAACCAAAAGTAATGGCCATTATTGCTATCAAAAGAGCAAAAAATGCCTCTAATTTGCGTAAACCATATCTATCCAACAATAGAAATGAAAATGTATCCAAAATTGTTAGTAAAACACCGGCATATAAAGGGATAGTCCTATTGGACAATAAATATATGGACACAGCAGTGCCTATAACTTCTTGCATATCGGAACCAATGATTGCAATTTCTGACATTATCCACAATAAAATTCGCGGAACTTTCGGGTATCTGATATAACAAACTTCTGCCAAATGTTTGCCAGTGACCACACCTAGACGTGCGGCCAAACGTTGCATAAAAAGTCCAACAATTGTTGACCAAACCAGAACCCACAGCAGCCGATATCTGGACACTGTACCCGATTGCAAATCAGATTCAATGTTTCCCGGGTCCAGATAAGCGATTGACATAAGAAATCCTGGACCAGTAAAGGCCCACAATCTACGCCAACTGAACCGGTAGTCACTAACAACGGGCACCGATACTTCTGCTGTAAAATAAGTGTCCAATTGTTCCGATGTTTTCTTATCATTTTCATTGCTAGCGATATCATTGATATCATCATTAGAGACGTCTCCTATTTTCATATTCATTTTGATAGCAATTGTTTGTTGCAAATGATTTGTTACAATAATGTATAATCAATRATGCAATTAAACAATAGTTCAAATTATAATAGTTTTAATAGAAATATGTAATTTAATTAATTAATTGTTGGCACAGTATTATTAGTAAATATAAAATATAATTGTCAGCAAATAAAAAAAAATTACGAAAACTCATAAAAATCCATTTCAGCTATAGTTACGTTTAATATTGTATTTTATTGCTTCACAATTAAACTAAATAAAATTGAATAATACAATTAGTCAAATAAATAATAACTATTGTTAACGTAATAAAATAATATAATAGTAATAATTTATTATTCATGTTATATTTTTGTATATATATATTAATATGTATTAAATTTAACTTCTAAATTTTATATTATGTAAATTTTTTAATATTATTGTTAACTAAAAACAAAATAAGATGAATATTTGTATATTTTTTATTACATTATTTTCAGTATTTTCTTTTATATCAAGTTCTGTTTCACGACAATCAACTGGAGGTTTATACTAATTATTTATTTTAATATTATGATACAAAAATTTATAAAAATAAATTAACTTATATTAAATAAAACTATAGATGTTTTTTGGAGTTATTGGGGCAAAAAAGGCGAAAATTTTTGGGAAAAACAATTTGATAAGTGTAGGGGTAGACAACAATCACCTATTGATATCAATACCAATAAGTTAGTGATCGATACCAATATGAAAGTTGAATTTATTAATTATGATCGGGCTATCAACTCGGCTGATATGTATAATACAGGATATAAAGGTATTATTTCAAAAATAATAATTTTATTATAAAAAATAACATTAAATTATTATTTAAATAAAACATTTAAGCTATTTTTGAGGTGTATGTAATACGAAACGTATAAAAAAAACTGTAGAATAATATTTATAATTTTAGATTTTATTATTAAGAAAAAAGTTTTCGATACTTAAGTAAAATTTAAATTATTTTGCTGTACATTACATACATAAAAACACTTTACTGAAAACTGGTAGTCAATAAACTATTAATAGTTAAAATTATAATAAATTAAAAATATTGCAACAAATAATTTCTCAATTATTATAGAAATTTAATTTTTTATATGATTAAAGTTTTTATACAGTATAAACATAGGTTAACATTTGATATTAGTTAACTTGAAGATTGATAATAAATTAAGAAATGCTATACAAATAAACATTAATAAAACTTCATCACACATTTCATAATAGTTTGTTATTAACAGTGCATAAAGATATTAACACATTACTATTGATAAATTTAATGCAAATAAACAATTGTTTTTTTAGATATTATATTTACACTTCACTTATTAAGTAAATATTATGTCTTAGCTATTGATCAATTTTTTTTGCTAAAGATTAAGATAGATTTTTAAATATAATAATAAGTTGTTTAGTTGTAGTTAACTGTTTTTATTTAGTTATCCTTATAATGAAAACTATATAATATAAAGTATTTGTTAATGAAAATAAAAACTTACATTAAATCGGGTGATGATTAAAAAATAATTTAATTTAAAAAGACATAAATGAGATAGCAATAAAAATCACATAAAAAATTTATATTAAAAAATCACAATAATAATTGTTTATATCATTATTATAGAACAATCAATAAAATTGTTTTTAAATAATTAATAGCAAATTAACACTCTTTATATACTAATAAATACTAATCAATAAATATGAGATAATTATGAAACAATTGTTTGTCCACAAATGATAAACCTTATAATAATTTTTAGTATTGCTATAATTAAAAAGTATAGTATATTATTTAAATACTACTAAACTTAACTTATTATTGACATACAATATTAATGTTACATTTCTCCAAATGATATTTTAGTATTTATTGAATAAAACACAATATATCTAATCATAGATTTCAAGTTAAATAATCAGTAAAATTGATTGAATCGGTATTATTATAGAGGAATTAGTGTAAGTAATTAACAGTAGTTTAGTTTAGTTTAAATAAAACTCTAATTGTGACCAAACACACAGTTTGTTAAAAATGATTAAAGGCTTTACTGATTTAAAATTTTTATTTATATTGTAACAAATTATTTGTTTCAATAACTTTCAAACTAAAAAACAAAAACAAAATTAATAATTTTTTCAGATATTGATATTTATTTTTTATTATGAAAATCATTGTTAAAATACTTAATGATATAATTATATGAGTAGAGATAAGCAAATAGGAATTTCTAGTAAATTTCTAAGTAATGCATTTTTATAAAAATTTTACTATTTTCTTATACTATGGTATCTCCATATTTATAGCTATTTTAATACTATATTATAAGAAATGATACACTACTCTACTATATGAATCCTTTATATAAAATTAATATATGATTATAATTATAATTTTTGTAAAATTGTTATAATCAATTAATTATGTTTTTAGTTCAACGAAATTGATTAATTTTTTAATTTGAATATTAATTAAATTACTAATATTAGATGCTAAAATTATTATAATATTGCTATTGAATCTCCAAACATATTATTATTGCTTTATAAAATACATTTATATATTTAATTTTTAAGAAAAGATTTATTTTTGAAAACTAATTGTTATTTAATATATTTGTCTAATTAAGATATTAATGATTTTTCAATAGACACATAATTTACAAAAAAATATTTATTATAATAATATTGCAATTTTTAAAAAATATTAAATTTACTTTATTATATAATATTTAAAAACTGTAAAACTGTATTATATTTTTTCTTAAAAAGTAGACAAATATTATTTAAGATTTAGATATAAAAAACACTTAATGAATTCACTCGTGAAGTGTTACATCAGATATCTGTCCACTTAAGACATATGTTACTGACCATTGATAACAAGTGGATGTAATTAAAAAAATATTATATCATTTTAATATGTTTTTGTGTAATATAAACACAAATTTGTAAATCAAATACTTTATATTAATTAAATTGTGAATACAGTATAGCCGTCACAATATAAATAAAATTTTTCTAATTCTTTCTCATGTTTAACAAACTACTGTTTAATCATCAAATTCGTTAAGATTTAACTTTTAAGTCTTTTATAATATACAGTAGTATACAGTATATTATGTACATATTATTATACGAAAATTATATAATTTAATATATTTTATCTTATAAAAACATTTATTAAACATTTATTTATTTATAAATCTTCATAACTAATATTTGCTTTTTGATAATCTACATTAAGGATTTTTAATATCTGTAATAATAAATACTGTATATTATTTAGTATGAATACACAATTGTAATTATATACATTGAATAATATTCAGTTTGAGTTATTATATAAATAGTATAATAAATGTATATAAAGTATATATAATATGATAACAGAATAAATTAAAATTTAATTAAGAAATAATAATTTAATTTAAGATAACATACAATTTTACAGCTATAAACTTGTATCAAATAGATGTCAAATTGTAAATATTTTTTTAAATTTTAAAATTAAAAAAATAGTTATAATATATTGATTAAACTAAGACTTTAAAAAAAATGTTTATCAGTTAAATTTTTTGAATACATCATTAATGACTAAATATTTAGATTTTGTAAAAATAATATAAATCAATGAAAATTGTTAATATTTAAAACTGTTAATTAATTTTAATTTCTATAAAAATTCAAAAACATTAGAAAATAATACATTTAATGTAATTTTCGTTTGTTTTGTCATTAAAATAAAGAATATAATTTATAATATGCTATTATAGACACAATATTGTATATCAGGTTATTTATTAATAGTTATTTAATATTTAAAGTATTACAAAAAATTAATTATTAATACGTACCTTAAAAAGTTTATTTTTATTTAAATATTAAATTTTTAAAAATCAATAACATTTATGTTATGTTGTGTTTAATGAAACTAACTTATATTTATAATTATATTTAATTATTTATAACAAATTATAGTGCACATTATATGCAATTAATTTGAATTCAAAAAATGAAATATAATATCATATAAATTATGTTATTTTTTACTGAAAATATATGCAATAAATAAATTGTGTTTTTAAAATTAACTTATTTTAATTTAAAACATATACATATAACTAACCTTGAGCAACAATTTTCAATTATATTTCAATATACTGTATTGTACTGTAATTTTGTTTATTATTTATTATTATCAAATAAATTAATTGTATTAACTGAGTCATCAAAGTATACAACAATTTTTATTTTATTTTATTGTCAACTCTTTTACATACAATAATGAATAAAAACATTTGTCTACTATTATATCAAATTAATCTAAATATTTATTGAAAATAAAATATTATTGTCATTTTGTTATTTAATTTGTTTATTTAAATGCAATATTTACAACATATTAACAAATATGTTATTTATTATAACTATAAATAATACGTTTTTTAAAAAAATATTGATATACATAAATTTAGATATTAAAATTGTATATTACCGATAATAAAACTTTTATATTGCAATTGTATTTCCTATATTGTACTTAATTTTTCCTGATCATTTAAAAAGTCAAATATCTAGTTGTCCCTCCAAATTGCATGTGATTAATGACAATAAAACATGTTATCAATCACGTAGACAGCAATTTAAAAGTATACTTTATTAATTTAAGTTTTATTATCATGCAAACTGATAATAATGCCAATTAGTATCGGATATTAAAATATGTATTGATAATTCAATCACGTACACAATTTTGTTGTTGCAATTGCTTATTAATACCCTATAAATGTTTCGTAGATAAAAATTAATACATTTTAAAAAATAAAATTCAGTTAAGATAACAATAATAATAGGTCATACAATAGATAGATATGATAAATTATATTAAATAATTTAGTTAACTACTAATTAGTAAAATTTATTTTAGTCAAACTAAATCCCGATAACAACACTGATACTGATGTCCTGATAACGGGATCGGCTCTAAACAACCAGACCTATAGGTTTAGTGAATTGCATTTTCATTGGAATGATGGATCAGATAATGGTTCAGAACATGCCATCAATGGCAAGAAGTTTGTGATGGAGGTGTGTATAGTCATTGTGTGTTTGATGGGTTACGACTCATTAGCACTGCAACCACTAAAAACTAATGGTGTTTACCTTTATTTAACAAAAAAAAAATTAAGGCACATATAGTGCACATGAATATCAAATACAGCGACTCGGAAACGGCCAACGCTCACGACGATGGATATGCTATTATTGCACTGTTATATATCGTAAGCACCCGATAATACACACATATAAACTACTAATTAAGCACTGTTTGGACATATATATTGCTATAGAGTATAGTTAAAGTTGTGTCGGAAAAGCAAACGTGTTTAATGAGACGTTAGATTAAGATTATATCAATTGATTGTTTATACAATTAAATAGTGACTGATGGCATACATTATCTAAACATTATTATATAATCAATAGACTCATTAAAGTAATGTTTGTTAATTTGCCAACTATTACTATGAATTTGATTGACCAAGTTAAATTAGTTTGTTCAAACTGCTAAATTAGCCGCAAATAAATAAAAATTGATTAATTATTTCAATTTATTATTTTGTATTAACTGTCCAGGAATTAGATAAACCAAACTTAATGTATGATATGATAACAGATCACTTGCATAATGTTCAAGATATTGGCCAACAATACATATTTGAAACACCAATATATTTGGAGAGTCTATTACCGCCAAATAAAGACTTGTTTTATCGTTATTTCGGTTCATATACGACACCCAAATGCAATGAAGCCGTCACTTGGATTGTATACCCGGAACTGGTCTTTATTGGTAGGAATCAGGTAATGTTAATATAATTATTATATATATATTAAAAATATTAAATAATATGATTTAAAAAAGATTAAAAAGTTTCGGACATTGTTTACGACAACATTTGACATAAGGACCGGTCATTTGAAGAGAATGATCGGTAATATTCGTCACTTACAGGACATTGCCGGACGAAAGATCTATACATCGGGAAAATTACCGATCAATTCAGATAATGTGTTGATATATTCTATAATATTGTTTATATTTTTGAAACATTTCTGTTAACATATTTATGTATTAATTATTTTTAATGTGATATTAGTTTGTTATTTATTACATATAATAACTACAGTATTTATGCTTTAAATAACTATAATAATTACTAAAAGATAATTTGAATTGTATAAATTGTATACAGTATTATATGGTATATACCGTATATCAATGTTGGCAGAAGCAAAATGTTTGTATAATACAAAGCGTATTATACTGTATAATACAATGTATAATACATGATCAATTTTCCTTACAAACAAAATTTAGCACCACTTAATGTTAAAAGCATGATATAAGCAAAAATAAATATTTATAATTTAATGTACACGGCTTATGATCTACCGAAAACTCGGGCCCTTTTTATGTATATTACATATGTTTTTTGTGTAACTATATCTCTATTAAATAATTATATAATTACATAAATGATGTCGCATTTTTTTAAACAACTCATGACAATATGGTATCTTTTATAATTACCAAATGTAGCACAAAAAACATAAGTAACATAAATAAAAAAGTACCGAGTTTGTTCTGAAAATGTTTGGTGTATAATAATTTATAAAGATATTGATTTATTTTAAATTATTTTATTATTATAATTAAAAATCTACGATTATTATAACAATAATGAATATTCTAGTAATTATATTTTTACCAAATATTTTTACTAAATTTTTAAACATGGATTACTAGTTCAATATTAGTTTTGAAAATTGTATAATACAAGCAGTTTATTGTACAATACTATATCATATAAAGTCAAAATTCAAAACCTTGTATTTTCCAACCCTGACATACATATCATATCTAGATTTATATTAATAAAACTTTTTGTTTGTTTGTTTTAAGCTATATTTAATTATTATTATTAAACAATAAACTATGTAAAGTATAGATACATATTAAGAAACATTTCACTAAAATAAGTAATATTCAAATGGGCAAATAGAAAGTTTCTAATAAATTTCACTGAGAAAGTTTCTCAGTAATAAATTTCTATAGAAATTTAACTTTTTTGTTATACTATGGGATCCTTATATCTATAGATATTGTAAAACTATAAATATATTAATGAGACACTACTATACATATAATATTATACTATATAATGTAGATTACTGTATAATACTAATATACAAATGGGATACCTACATAAACCTATGTATATTAAGAATTATAATTATTTAATAATAATCAGTTTTGTAAAATTTTATTCACCATTTTATTATACCATAGTTTAATATAATTAAATAAATTAATTTTTTACTTTAATTAATAATTAAAATACTAATAATAACATTTAAATATTACTTATAAAAACAATGATAAAGATAACAAATATCGAGAAAATAAAATTAACCATGGGGATCCCATAAATAAAAATTTCTTTTAGAAACTTTCTAGAAATTTCTCTATTATTTTATAAATTTCTATTTTTTGTCAACACTAGGTAGTACTGACCATACCTTTTATGATTAGTAAATAAAAGTAATAGACATTACATTGACAACCTGTGCTTTACAATAATAACTAAAATTTGTAATAAAATTTCAAATTAAAATAAAATTATTTAATAAAAAATACAATCAGTTTTTAATCTATTGTTTCGTCAACTGAGTAACTCAACTAATGTTTTACAACTTTGAACTTTAAAAACTTTATAAAAGCTTAAATTTAACTATAAATTAAAAGTAATTTGTTATAAAATTTAATTTCACTTACAATTGATATCAGTTGCTATATTAATAAAAATTAAGATAAATTAAATCAAAATAAACAATAAAATGATACAAAATATTTTAATGTAATCATAAGTATTAGAAATTTGTTGCAATTAAATCATATCTAATCAATTGTAATACTTTATAATTATATTCAAATATTTTGTATCAGTTTTTTCTTGTTGTTTATTTTGAATCAAATTAGCTTAATATTTTATTAGCAATTTATTTTATAATACATATATATATTATTAATTTAAATAAACATTAAATATTCTATAATATTGTAAGTTCTCTCAAAAAATACTAATCAGAACCAAAAGTAGACAAAAACTGTTAAGTTTATAACAGTTAATAGTAATAATTAAATATAACTTTAAAAAATAATAAATTTCATTAATATATCTATTAATATATCACATGATTTATATAATTCTGTGACATTCTATAACATTGAATAAATAAATACTGTAATTGTTTTATTTGTTTTATAATAAAACATATTATTTTTATAAATTATATTAATGTATTATTTACTTATACATTGTACATGTAATATAATAATCATATAAATATAATTTTTAAAATAATTGGTTTTATTCTAAATTTAAATTCAGATCACAATTATTGTATTTACATTAATCATTAGTACAGGTATTAAAGTACAGTATATGTTTGCTTTCATAAATCTAATGTATTAATGTACAGTACTGTAGATGTAATTTATATTTTTAATATAATACAATTTTTATATTAACAATTAATAACTATGAATTTGCCATTATTACAAAAATATTATATATTTAAAATAAAAACAAAATTATTTAGTAGTATATGAATTATTATAATATTCTTGAACATCAATATAATTAGTTCCCATAGATGACACTATTTGAATCAAAATATAAAACAAATAAATAAGTTTATAATTTACACTTGTTATTGTTAAAATAATATTGTATAAATTATAATATATATTAATTACTGTACATTAATTTATGTATAACTCATTAAATATTTTTAACTTTTTTTATTAGAAAATTCTAAACAAAATTATAATATTATTATTTACTTAACTAGTAATTAAATAAGTCAAATTATACAATTTTATTTGAAAATTATTTTTACGATTTAGTTTTCATATTCAATTACAGTTACTATACTTTAACAGAGGCTTTTGTACTGTTAAGTAACATAACTGTCCAAATAATTTATTTAAATCTACTGTAAATTATCACGAATTATGTTTACTGTTTTGCAACCGATAGGGTTTGTCTTTAATGAAAATAGTTTTAATAAATATATAAAAACATGTTATTTATTAGTAATATTACACTAAAATGTTCAAATAATAGTGAAAAATATAATAATAATAAAAGTTAATATAATTTATATTTATTGAAGTTCTTAAAGAAATTGCATTTATATAAGAAAATATATGTAATATATGCTAAACTCACTGATTTTTTCATTAATATCTGAGTTTAATAATAATAAAAATGTGTGCAAATGTTTTACTGCAAAAAAATATATAATACACTTAACAAATAAATTATATTTAATATCTTTTAAACCAAAATGCATAACAATATTATTTTTTATTACATTACAGGAAATGTATAGTTTGAGAGAAAAAAAACTAATAAAATACTATTAAGTTTTCTAAAAAAGACTATTGTTAGCGAACTTTTGTTTAAATGTGTAACTAAGAGCACCGGGAGGAAAGACATTTAGATTTTATAGACAATGCAATGTTTGAATTTAAATGGTTTGGTTTGAAGAGGTGAGCATCAGTTTGACTGCTTCTTCACCAGATTTACCACTACGTGATCTGACATCAAGAGTATGGCATTTGTTTGTACACTATATGTGGGTTTGTTGTAAACAAAAGTTACTGAAAATATTGTTTTTGTTTTAAATAAAATATAACTACAATAAGATCTCATACATCTTGTTATAATTTTTGTGTTTTTTGCCTTTTATATAAATTGCAAATATTAATATTTAATCAGTCCATTAATTCATTATTTTTTTAATCAAATTTACTTTACAAAGTAAAGTGTCAAGTGTTAGATACAATATGTTTTTTTGACTTTATATTTTAAATATACATATATTTTCCATATAAATTTGAGGGTTTTTTTTGTGTCAATGATGCGACCATTTATTGGGGAATCCGTCACATGAAACACGATTGCGAGCGCTGATAACTAACACATATACACAAGTAATTGACTGACTTATGCATAATGAGACAATTGATAGATATGCAGACCGACCTGTGCAGGCATACCAACCCATAAATCATTGAATATCATATAAATGTTAAAACACGTACAGTGACATCACTAACATATACTATAAATAAGATAAAACAAAAACTTAACGATATTTTTTTAGATTAAACCTCAATAGATAAGTATTCATCAAAATGTAATTATTATATGAAAGTACTGTATATGTTATATACAGTATATACTATATACTGTAAAGTACAAAAACTGTTGTAATTTACACATACATTGTATTATTAATCACTTTTTAATCTCATAAATATAAGTATAAATTGATTGATAAGATTGATTATACGTTTAAATCAAATCAATAACATTATATATTTTTTGTATTGTGATCTAGATTAAATAAAAAAATTGTATATATCATAAAAATAGTGTATTGATAATTTTATTATAGCATTTTTATTAAAACAATTAATTAAATTTAGTACATCCTCATAATCTAAGTTTTATATGAATAAAAAAATCTAATTATATATTAATTATTATTTTTTTGTTTATTTTATTTTACACTATTTATCTTATTATGATTGGAAGAAAATATGTATATAATTTATTTTAGTTTTTATTAATATAATTTATGCTTAGAATAATACTTAAAATTAATTATCAGCAAAATATTTTATTTGTATAATATTTGTATATATTTATACAATAATTAATTTTGCATTCAAATAACAATTTTAATTAATAAAATATATATATATAAAAAATGATAAAAGCATTTTAGACAAAAAATATTTTGACTATATATTGATTATATGTGAGAACTTGGTATCTCTTTTACAAATGAAAAATTCAAATATAATGCAAATGAATGTAACGTTATTTTATTGATGAGCTTTTTGTTTGTTTTTTGTTTGGAAATGTTTTTTCTCTCAAAATAACTGATTTACATCCTTGTTATGTCTTGTTTTTAATTGTTTAATGTTTGGGGAGTCTATTGCATTGTTACTAATTTGTTAGCTCAGACCTTGTAGTGTGTGTTTGGTTTGTGCCTAAAAAAACTACAGAATCTAAATGAATTGAGGGCTGAAACTCGTGTATTCAATTGAATATAATTATGAGCCTAAAACTACTTTCTTTTAGTATTACTATTGCAAATGTATGGCTCATGTATTTACCAAAAGCTTTTTCTCGCAGACATAACAAGTACTGTATATACATATACTGTATGTCTATGTGTTTGTAATTAATTGATATTCAATTAAATCGCTTTTCTCCAAGAATTAAATTTCAATATTAATGAAATTTTTGACGTTAATTGCGGAACAAATATAATTATATAATACATTATATGCCTTTACTATTGTTGTCTTGTATTTCATTTCACATAATTGATTACATTATCATCATATGGTATATATTATCTATATGTATACAGTATAGTAAAGACATAATACAATAATATCTGAATATCTTTGTGTCAATTGCTATGAGAAACATAAAGTTAGGATAAAGTTATGGCTAATAATATAATTAATGTCAGATAACTAAATGACATCAATTGTTATACCAATACTGAAGATATTGTTATTAAGATTATTATTATTACTGCTATTATTATTATTACTATATTTTATTACATTTTAGTATTTGATGAAAACAATGCAAATATCAATCAATATATTCATTATATTAACTACACATAGATTGTATATAAAAGAAAAAATATTTTTTACTTACGGTAAGAATAAAATCATTTGGGATATACTTTAGTATTGTTGCCTTTAATATCATCGCAAATAATATGTTTGTATATATCATATAATTTTTTTCATATAAAATTCGTATAATAATTACATCTACAAATTGTCAATACAATATAATATTTTATCAAAACATAACTTGTATTACCCATACTTAGCGACACAATTATAACATAATCTATATTTGCAATGTCTACACAAAATTCAGTACTACCAACACAAATGCAATTTAAATTGATTTATGTTTATGTAATTTAATGCAAAAGCAATGGTCTAAATGATGGCAATGGGAGTGAAAATCACAGCAAAAGACAGTAAAAATAATAGACATTATCTTTAAATGTCTTAACAAAAGTTAAGTAAAACAAAATAATAATGAATGAGTAAACTTAACATTATATGTATGGTATTGACCGGTATTGTAGACTACTATTATAGGTCATGAACTCTTATATATCAGTTTCTGTCAATACAACAGTTGTAACTTAAACTGTGGAGAAAATATTTATGGATTACCTATGAATTTAAGTCAATAATCCTCATAATGAGTAATCTGTTAATTATTTTATTAAAACAGTTAATGTGTGACAATATATTTTTTATTTGTAGGACAAGTTTTATTGTAACTTAGAATTACTTAAATTAGAAACTTAAATCATTTATTTATTATTTAGTTTTAAATTTATATCAATTTTATAATTAATATAATATTAAATGTATTAATAATTATCATAAATTAGATCTTAAGTCAAATCAAGATTATTTAGATAATAATATTAGAAAATTAAAATCATCCATATATCTAACTTATGTATTATAATAATTTAAGATAAAATATTGACAGTATGGTCATAATACTATACTATAGTGATTTGATTCACATAATCACTAATAATATGTGGATATATTGGTAACATTATCTTTAATGTAAAGTGCATCCAATTGTTGTGGGGGAGAGACTGATAGACAAACAGAGATCAGTCAGTTAGTCGGTGAACCAAATATACAATAATATTATACATTTAAGGCAAAAATAATTATGTGATTTTAGGCACAATAATTGTATCAAATGAACAAATCAAATCCATAAGCACTGGTAGTGCATTGTGCGGCCAACCGGTAGGAAAGTTGGGCTAAGAGAAGGCTATCAAAAGTCAATGCTAGTGATGGTATAGTATAATATATATGATAGTAAATGACAGACAATAGAGATGAGGAGGTTGTGCAAAATGTGACGCCGCTTTCACAGTGTGTTCGCATGTATTTTATATGTAATCTATTGATGGTATATACTGTATATAAATATATATATATTGTATATAATATTTACCAAAAACAAAGAGAGAAATAGAGAGAAAATTTGAGCAAAAAAACAAATTACTTTAAAAGGGTCTCTAACTCTCTGATAGTTACCGACACACACTCAGAGCTGAAGCCCGTGTGACAGATATGAAGCCCTAAACCGACTGCCATTATGTCATATATTATGAAAGACAAGTGGACTGAAACAGAAATACATGGATTTCCCCAAACAAAAGGCTTTTATTAAAAAATCATTCAAAACTCTCTCTACTAATATATATTATACCGGTATATGCTATATGTGCTCATAACATGGTATGCACTGTTGAAACAATGTACCCAACACTGTAATAATAATAATAATAATATTTTTATGGTATTATATAATATTTGTAATGCAGTCAATATCCAAACTAATAACTAATATCTAATGTGTGTATAAGTTATAAGTATAACTGACTACAATGGCATATACAGTATATCCTAAAATATAATATAATATATAACATATTATTTTTGAATAATTTGAATGACTGAACACCTGATATATATGATATTATATAAAATATTACATAATAAATATACATAGAGATATAAAATGTACACAAATTGTATATTATATATATATATATATATTGGTATATATCGACAATTTATACAATTTAACTAATACTGAGTGCTTCACTATTCAATTGATTAAGTCGTGCATAAAACTGCATGTCTTGCATACAATAACTACACAAATACAGCAGTTGTATACTTCATATACTGTATATACACCGGTAGGTCATCATTGCACTGGAATGGACTCATAATAGCAAACATAACATTTCACATCCCTTTTCGTGTATTACACCAATACTACTATACTATTACTACTGACTGATTGTACAACAAAACCAGTTAACTCTTTATTAGCACCAAAACTAATAACTATTTTTAAGTGCATTGCCTAATGGTTATGGTGTTGGGGTCCAGACATTTTAGGCTAATTAAATATAACCATATATTGACTAAACATATATACATCCATGTGCTGCTAATGTAATTTTTGCAAAACTAATAAAAAATTTTACGAATATAATGAATCACACATTGAATAAGTCTATGCATTTAAATGCTCTCAATTTTTATATTAATAATTACAATAATCAAAATGTTTTGACTAAAAATTGCATTATATACAGTCTCTCTCTCGTTTACTAAAGATAAATAATTTATACTCAAATAATAATAATAAAATTTGTAAAATACTTGAATACACAATACAGTTGAAAACTTAGTTAATTTTCATTTGACTACTAAATTGTTTGAATAATAATGTGATAAATTTCTAGTGAGAAAGAAAAAAATAACACATTTTGCACTTCATTTAAAATAATTAAATTTTACTCTATTATAGCTAAAAACATACGGTGTATGTATTTTTGTAATTTACTCAATTGCATGAATTGATAGGAAAGGGAGTGATGAGTGGGTCAGACATAGACTGAAAAGTGAAAGCGAGAAAAAAGTTTTTGAGATATAATTCATAAAAATATATGTATTTATATTACTGTATATATAGTCAACACTTAAGTCCATTTACTATCCTATTGTGTATTTTGTTAGATATTAAGGACTGAAAAAATATAATTAATATATAAATAATATTTATTTGTCGGAATGATATAAGAGAGCGGGAAAGGGATCTTATATTTCAGTGGAGAATAAAAACGGTGAGAGTATGTGAGGGCTCAGACATCTAATTTGATTTATTATGAATGCATTTAGGAGTTTGTGTGCACAATATATCTATGGCTTCGGTATATAATGATTGTTAGTGTAGAGTATAAGTAGGTATACTATGATATGAATAGGAGGAATGGTATGGTATATACTGTATATATATAATATATATCATACAAAACCTCTTTTTTCAGTGAATATGAGCCCACAGTTTGGATTCCTAGCGGCCAAACATTGATCGCAATCCTTATATGTTGAGTGCATCTTAACCTTTACTATCTATTAGATTATGTATTGAATAATATATAATATAATAATAATTCTCATATTTATTATATGGGGTATCACTAGTACAGTATATACGGTATGTATTGCTTATGTAATCTAAATATCTGTATTTACAGTGCACTCCAAATATTGAGTGCAAACATTAAAAGCTCTGATGAGATGCTGTGATCAACACATACTACACCCTCACTGTAAATAAAGATCAATAACATTGTTAATGCCATACGATTAGTAGATACTATTGATTTCATGTCTAAAAATTGTGTCCAAAAAATTTTTTCATATATATTTCATGCTTTAGTTTCGAGACATTAATTTATTTTTTTGTTGCAATTAATTGACAAATTAATGTCTCGTTCAACGATAAGTCAGACATTTATGTTATCTCAGTGTAATAGTCAGCAAATAAATAACACAATAGCTTATAATTAATCAGAGATCGCAAAATATTTTTAAAAATTTAAATAAAATAGATTTTTTTTATAGTTATATGATTTTAAACATACAATATATATAATTTAATGGATAAGTATATTAAAAATATATATATATATATTTGTTATATTTTTAGTATAAAATTTTCATTTGTGTTTTTGATAAATTTTGTAATTAATGTATACAAGATTTACAATACAATAATTAAATCAACAAAATAGAAATATTATAGCATTTAAATAATAATATCATATACTGTATACTCCATTTAATTGTGTTAACTAATATAAAATTTACTATAAAACATAGAAATAAACTGAAATAATACTTTAAAAATTACATGGCTATAAATTTTTTAAAAAAATATAAACTAAACAAATTAACTATAACTTTTAAATAGTTTTTTAATTTGACATAAAAATAATTATCAAAAATCTGATATTTGGTTATACAGTATATGTGTCACAATATTATTGTTAATTAAATGTTTATAATATGAAATATAGATTATTGTTAGTTTTATGACAACTTCATCATATATATAATGAAAACAAACATTATATTGATATTATAACAACAGCTGTTAATGCGGTATTTTATTAGTTAATAAATGGTACAGAAATGATGGTCACTGAGCCGCACAGTTAGCAAAAAAATTATTATTTTCATATACTCTTATAGTCTATGATATTATGTCAAATAAGAGCATACTTTTTTGAAAACAATAAAATTATTTTGCAAAATAGTTTATTTGACTTATTAATGTTTAACTTTGAATCTAAGTCTTAGAGTAAAAAATGTTCAGATTTTAACAAATATTTAAAAATTAGTGAGATTTTAAATAAAGATTTAAGTAAAAGTAATTAATTAAATAAATTAACATTTAACACATAATAAATTCAATTATTTATTTCAAATATATCTTTATTAATTTTAAATAATAATTTTTAAATATTTCATACAAATTTATTTTATTTTGAGTGCACTTTAAAATTAATTTATATAAATTATAAATTTATATATGTACATATATATACCTATAAAGCAAATATAATTATTTTAGCTAAAAGCTAGATATATATATATATATATAATAATATATATTTAATTTACAAGTCGATAATAATTTCATAAAATTAAATTCTCATTAAAATTTAAAAAGCATTTAATAAAATGTATAATTAAATTTATGATGATAAAAACTATATTTACAATTTCAAATCGTAATTATTAATAATTACTAAATATAATAATAATATTTATAATTTTATAGATTTGATGCGTTTATACCCTGATTTGATTGGTTTTACAATTACAGTTTTAGTCAAAATTTTAAATGTATATTATAATTAACAAATAAATTGTTAAATAAATGCAAGTTTTCCAATAGAAATGCATAGATTTTCAATTAGCTTGGAAAACATTTGATAATTAATAAAACATTTAATAAAAACAGATACCTCAATGACAAATATGATAATTTAATCGCTTATAATGTTAATTACAATGTAAACTATTTAGTTATAGCAAATATAAATTATTGATTCAATACAATATGTATTTTTATGTATACAAAAATGATTATATAAACAACATTTGTTTTTATTTTAAATAAACTTCTCAAAAGACTAAGCTATTTATTAATCAATCAATTTAACAGTTGATTAGACTAACATAGTTTCCTGACTGCCCATTGAAAAGGCAATGGTCTCTAATTTGAGATGTAGGTGCTGTCGCTGACTCTGTGGATCACAGCACAGGGCTTCAAACAATGGTTCTCTATATCGTGAAACATAGATATAAAGTTCCCGTAAAGCGTTATATGTGTCAACTTCACCGGCATAAGACTGGTAGCAGAAAATATGGCAAATTTAATAACAGAAAAAAATTTAATTAATATATAAATATATACCTGTGATATGGCATTCATGTTGGCGACGACATCCGACTCATGTATTGGCGGCAACGATGCGATGTCAGCATAGTATTTGGATACCATTTTCCGATAGACAGGTATATCCCTTGCAAACAGTAATTTATTGGAAGGCGAGTCCTTTCCCAGTCTGTGCTCTTGTGTTGAACACGAGTCCATAAAAGTCTGTGCGATCACAGATAGACAGGCGTCCACTGATGAAGACTTTTCGATGTCAAACAAAAAGTCGGGATTTTTGACTAAATTCACCCAAAATCGGAGCGGAAGACTGGGTTTGAAGGAAAATAAATATAAAATCATTTGGTTTGTTATATTATAAGAAAATTGACAAAAATTTACACTTATGTCAAATATACTGAATTTACACAAATATATAATCATAATATATTTATTTTCAATGAAAAAATGCTAATTATTTATTTATATATTGTATACATAACAACTAACAGTGGCTTAAATAAATAAATAAATAAAATATAAATATATATAATAATTATTAGTAATAATTTTTATAAGTGTTTAAATTATATAAGTAAGTAAGTTATTTTCGTTAGAATTTTTTTTAATTGTATTTATTAATATTTAATAATTTAAATAATTTTTCAAATAGAGTTGTAATTATAATATTAACTGATTGTATTAAACTATGTTTACCTATTGCTTTTCCACGCGTGGATCACCTCGTGGTCAGTGATGCCGTAATTGGCGGCTGCGGTGTCCAGTAAGTCGAACAGCCATTTGACAGCGAGTGGCAGCTTATCATTGACTGTCAATATTGTGGACAAGAAATCGTCGACATATTTTTGGATTGTGCCCTAAGATTTAGAGTCGTTTAAGTTATTAATTATTGATTGCAATTAACAAATATAAAATAAATGTTACCTTTGTTGACAAAAGTCGCGTCAAATAGATTTCTGGTATCTGTTTGTGCAACTGATCCTTGGAGTTGTCGGTATGGTTGTCATCGAAAGGCTTGACCAGATGCCAGGTGCGCACCCGACTATCATCACATACACGGGTACTATTGCTGTTAATAGTACTGTAATAATGTGAATAATTGCTGGAATAGTGGTTTGAATAGTTGTTTGTTAATGTATTATATATGTTTCGGTGAGACGGCGAATGTGTAGGACTGTTGGATGGTATGGTTTCATACAAATGATTACTGGAACGCCTTTCCTTAATTATGAGACCCATTACAGCCATATCTTTGATGCCATAATGACTTAAAGTATTTAATCGTTTCCAACCATTTATCACTTTAGTAGTCAAATCTTCATCGGCAAGAATTAGATGACCACCTCTTCCGTGTCTCCACTCGAGGTTCACCTCATTGACTGTCGGCCGTTGAGAAAAAGTTACATTTTTATAGATAGTGTCAATGATTTTACTCTTCACTTGACTTATAGTATCGCAATTAAGGACTCGACACTGAATTTTTTCTGCCGTTCCCTCTTGAATAACATGAATAACTACTGTCATATAGTCAACCTGTTCACGGAGTAACCGTTCCTCGGACAGGGAGTATCTCGAGTCATGTGTCACATAATCTATGGGTCCTTTTTCTATCTGATGTTTAATGGCATTGAATAACAAAAACAGTGAACTACCGGCCACTTCATTGATGTATTTATACATGCAAAGTGACATCCAATTGGTCAACAGTTTTTCAACCACCGATTCCGTACGTCTAAGCAATAGTTGCGGATGTTTGGAGGACACATACTTTTGGATAAGTCTTATTAATAGTTCCCGAAGAATACTATGATTGATAACAATAAAAAAAATAAGATTATTGTCAATTGTTTGAACAGACAATTAATTATCACATCGAGTCAAAGATAATAATTCATTAGTTTTTATGACTTACTCAAAGGCGTAATCCATTTTCTCCATCAAAATAATCATCAAAAGTGATGCCACATTAACTCTGTGTTTGTCATCATTGAGGAAAAAAAGAGAGACAAAGGAAAAAAAAGTTTAACTAAGAAATGGATTTAAGTGATTGTCGTCTTTTACGAGACAAACGATTGAACCGATTCTTACTTATCACGAATGGTAAATGATTTCTGGTTTTCCAGTGTCTCAATAAACACCAAAAGGAAGTTACGGTTATATATGAGTTGCTCGAAGTGTGCCATCGACTCCTCACTATTATATGGATTGCCATTTGAGTGCTATTTTTGTGATGAATAACAACAAATAAAAAGATATAATAATAATTATGTAAACAATTAATAATATGGAGGAAACATATGAATGACATGAAATAAAACTCAAGAATATTCTAATCGATTGATAATCGGAAAGAAAAGTACTTACTTTGTAGTCACTTGAAAGAGGACTTCCATTGTCGGGTAAACCGGGAAAGAAAACTTTAATAATGTAAGCCCTGTGGTCAAGGGTAGGGATACCAGTGGTCTGTAAATCATTATTGAGGTCAGTCATGTCGGTCTGCAATTCGGCGAACGCCTGTTTGCATTCAGATCGGACACTGTTCTCGAGAGTATCCATTTGCAATTGGATCCGCTTATACTCGCGCTCAGCCTGAGAGCTCTTATGCTTGAAAATAGCTAAAACTATTAGACTCAATAACATGAGTACAGCACCGGCAGCCACGAAACAACCGATTACTAGTGGAGGCAATTCATAGGCGGCTGAAACTTCGTAGCGCAAGTAACCGATATCATAGCGAAGATTTCCCATTTTGACCACAACTGTTGGCAAATCATTTTCGTTAGGTCGACCCAACTCATCCGATCCCAGAGGCTGGACGTCGGGTGGAAAGCAAACCAGTTGTGTCATACTAAGAGATGTTATATTACAAGTTCGGGTGCCTATCGTCACGTTTACTTCGTGTTCAGTTGAGGCCAATCTAAGATTCTCGCCCTCAATGACTAATGACTCTCCTTTGTATAATTTGATACCATTTTCATCAAATGAAAACACCTTTGGGTCGGAAAGATATATAAGATTCGATGGCATCGTTGGATAGAACTCTTGCAAATCGCGAACAGACTGGACGTCGTCCATAACAAAACCAATTCTCAGTCTAAGTCCACTATTGCTAACATCGCGGATGTAATTACGTGACTGACTTTGGATGACCAGATCTTCCATAATTTTTGGTGACGGACACGACATCGTTGTCGAGTTAATTACATTACACGACTGTATAATTAGGATATGGGTTTGAAAACGGATATGAAATAAACAATTAGATAAAATACGCCTATAAAATGCTAAATAAATAAATAATTGAATATTGAATGGGGTCGGAGATAATAGCCATACCGTTTCATTGACAAGACTATTATCATCAAAGATAGCAATGCGTGGCAATTGTATTGATGTGAAATTACTTCCCGACACAAGTAATGGTCGACCGCCACTGAAAAAACTCTCCAACGGATAGATTCTGTAAATTGTCGGGTCTTTTGTGTATTTAAATGGATGGGAAAGAGTATGGTTTGATCCATCAATACATAGTATTAATTGTCGGACAGAGTATGAGGAATGGGGTGCAGGAGTGGTACGACAACTCAATTGTTTACTACTCGCCAACGAACTGTCCATTCATTATGGTTCACATTAAAAAAAATGAATTAAATGACATTTTTATAAATTGATTGATTGATCGTTATTTATAAGCAATAATGGCTTTAATTGTAGCAAAAAATCAGAAATTAAATGAACTGAAAACAAATGACATACCGTTCCACACGACAGGGCAGCTCATCCAAGAAAATCTCAATGTTGGAACCGATATTCAAATTAGTACCACTTAAATATAGACGGGTACCACCAGATTGTGGGCCCAATTTAGGGTTTACATCCATCAAGTGAACCGTCTATTGTGGGGCACAACAGCATAATAGGGAAAGATAGACAACAAAACATAACAATATTATTAGTTTTTATTCATGAGATGTTCCTCTAAAGGCACACCCAATTGAGTGCTGAATATTATAAGACATACAGTATTATACAATAATAATTTACAAATACTGTTATATATGTTATAATAATCAAAATTAGTAGTCATTAGTCATATTCCCAAAACATATCCATCACACAACCCGGTGCTCATTAATGAGTTGCTAAATATCAGTGCTAATTACATGTAATATACTGTACTATAGTATAAACGGCACAATGCCTGTGCTATTACTTCCCATTCCCCATCACTTAAACATCAAATAATTTGAATACATATTTTTGTAATCTTTTGTTTTTGATTAAATTATTTATTATTATTATTATTCTCGTAACAGATGCTAAAAGTGCGTTAAGAATCTAATTTTTATTTATTTGCTTAGTTTTATACATAGAATATTCTGTAGTCTTTTATTAAATTAGATTATATAAGAATATATACCACTTTATACATAAAATAATATAATGATTTGTCATTATCTGCAACAATGTGTATAATATTTATATAATAGCTTTATTTAAAGTTAATGCTTAGATAAAAACCAAACTCACATTTGTTAACAAAATGACATTTTTATAAAAAGATTGTTTGATTTCAATCGTAAAATTCAATTAGGGTTTTGTTTGTTTTGTTTTGTTTGGACTATATTTTCATATCAGTCTGTAAACTATTTTTAGTGGATTTCAAAAATAGATAGTAAATCATAAATAGATATAAAAAAATTACTAAAAATTTATTTGGATTTTGGTTTTAAAAACAAAAATGAAACAAATTATTGTTGTGTTTTATATGATTTTTAAAAGTAAAAAAGATTAAAACTATATATAATAATAATAAATAAAAGCTGAACTCAACTCTCAATTTAAGGTTGTTATCGAAGTATTATATAATAAATATAGTGAATGAAGTAAAAGATGGGATAAACTATTGTATTATTTCACTATCTTTTTGTATGTTTGGCTATAAATCTGAACTAAGATAGAGATTGAGTCCATTGATTTTTAAAAGCTTACAACAAAATAAAAAGAGAGATTAGATAACAAATAGAAAATAAATTACCAAAAATATCATCAAAAGACAAAAACATTATTATTTCTAAACAATGGATTTCAGGGCTGTATTGCCATTCAATAGAAAATGTGAAATAAAATGCCAAAAAACATATAAAAACAAAATTTACTAAATCAAACACTCAATACAAAAATTATATCAACAATTTTTATACTCTCTTTTTCTCTCAACAAATATGTTTAAAATTGATAAACTTGATCATAGATATGACAGATACAACAAATAGATAAAGTGAGAAAAACAGTGTCAAATACATGATGTGTGTGTGTAGTACTGTATACTATGTTTACTGTTAGACAATAACAACAACAAAAAATAAAATAAAATAAAAGGTATCAAACAATGCGTGTCTTGAGAAACAAATTTGGATAACTATTATCACGCTTTAGTTGAGAGTAATAACACCTGCGATACCAATATACTACTAAAGCATAGAGTACTCGTACAGTACAACCACACCAAAAGCAATTTCCAGTCGAGCACTGGTAGGCATAAAGATATATCGACACAACTGTATCTCTAATACTATATATATACTGTTGTATCACTTTTTGATTCAATTGTTTGCTAGTGTTTTGAGAGAGTTAACTGAATTGACAACAAAAAACTCAATAAACAGAGAGTGCTATTAACTAAACATTAAGTTCACTATTGATAGTATAATAAAATTACAATAGAAAAACATGCAAACTATAAATATTTATAAATTACATGTTATAATATATGTATATATCATAGAATATTATATTTTGTCATTATCTAAATTTTTAAAATCCCTTCCCAATGTTTTTTGAGCAAAAATACTAAAATAAAATGTGTTAGAATTAAACAATTTATTTTCAATATATATAATATTAAAATTTTGAATCTAATAATATAAATTAATTAATTTGATATTAGTAACTAATTAACAATGAAAATAAATCTTATTAAACTATTATATAATAATTAAACTAAATAATAAATGTTGTCATAACTTTTTAAGGCTAAAAAACATAAAAATGGACTTTGTATAACAGTTTTGTAATAATACTAATAATAATATATAAATTTAGCCAATATTATATGGTTGTTGTTGTTGTTGTTGTTGTCTGATGTCAATATAAATATAAAGTTTGATGCATTGATACCGAAAGCTAAATGTAATTTTAATCGACACACAAAACGTAATACTAGTACACAATTGACACAATGAAAGACTCGCTTTAATATTATTACTTTTATATGCCTATAAACTACAATATATTACTGTAATATTTTTAGAGCACAATATCAAACAGATATGAAAATATGTAATTAAAATTATATCAATCATTCACCGGAACATAAACACAATCCATCAAACATTGTTATGTGTGGACTAATCTATAACATTGAACGTAACGTAAATTTTATATATATATATGTATGAATCGAGTTTATACTACTATGTATGTATGTATTATATACAGTATATATATAACTTTATATTGTATTATATTATAGATATCGTAGTATAATAAGTATATGTATACTGTAAATATAGTAAATAATAAAAATTTATATAATAAAAGGAATAGTAATTGAGTTTTTTCCAATGGATGTAAAGTTAAAATATATTTATGAAAAAACTTTTCCTATCTTTAATGCTAACGATAAAAGCCTTCGAGACCTTTATTATTAAACTTAACGTATATTTACTGCAAATATGATATAAAAATTTATATATAAATAAAAACTAAAATTCTCAAAAAACTCAGTTTTTGAGGGTTTAAGGGATTTGTGTTTTCTCTCTATTCTTAAGACTGAAATTGATATGAAAAGCACATTAACTTAAGTGAAAGTAAAATATAAAGGAGAGGGAGAATAGTGAACAATACATTTAAAGTGCGAAAAAATCGAGAGGTTGTGTTCACACAATTTTTGTCAAAAATAATTTTTCAATCAATAATTTCATTTGTTTGAGAGCAACGTTATTATACATTAGCAACACATTGTATTTATAATAATAATAATATTAGGAGTTCCTCGCAAGCTATGGTGTGGGTGAACCACTTACTTAATGCCATAAGCTTTATGTATTATTCAACGATATACATACTTCTAGCGAAACTCAATTATAATAGTAACGTACCTTATATTGAAACTTTTCCTGAGCCCGGGTCACACCGGCCCGGTTGCCAATAACCACAACTGCCGACTGTTCACCAATAGGACTGACACCCGTACGACAGACAACACTATTAGTAGGCGTAAAAATTTAATTATTATTAGTTAAATAACTAAAAATATGTTTTTATCGATTTTATTAGTTAACATCAATAGACTTACCGAACGGATATACTGTATTCAACTGTCACACAGGGAATGCCTCCGAGCGCTACTTTGTCTCTGATCTCATCTTCAGTTAAGCCCAAATTGGAACCTTCGATGGCCACCAGTGTTCCGCCTTCTACTGGACCCGACAGGGGATGTATCTGTAGGTGGGTTTGCATTAAATAACAAATTAGAAATTAACTGTATATATCATTTTCTCATCAATTAATTCCTGTCTAATACATCATATTTTTAATAATCATTATTAATAACATTTTTGTAGGCAATGAATGGGCTGACACTTAAATTTTTAGGCCACACTATTGTAATGTTTTCGCTATTATTGTATTTATAAAAAATATAAATAAATATTCTGTTCATTCATTAGATATACAGTGCATTGTTGTTATCGGTTTGTGTTATATACAGTATAAAGAATATTCTGTATGTATTAAAACCATTTTGCGTGTGAAAACCATTGTTATAAATACAGTATACACAGCATCACAAAAATTGACTGAACAAATAGGTTTTACACAATATACAGTGTATACTTTATATTCTATAAATTATATGCCAAACTATATTTTTTTATATCAAATATATATGAGAAAAATTACTATTTTATATATACAATAATATTATAAAGTATTTTTGTGATTTCATTCATCATTTTATTTGTCACAAACACCTGACTATAGTCTATGCAGTAGTAGTAGTAATAGCTGTAAACTGTATGATATATATAAAAATAGTTTGCTTAGCAAGAATTGCAACCAACAATTGCCAGCCTTTTGGTGGTTTTAGTTTAAAAAAATGTGCAAAAAAAAGGGATGAATTATATGTGCGGAAAATTATTGTGTAGACTATAACATAAGGCAATTGTTAGATATACAGAATATAAGATATATATATATATATATATATATATATATATATAAAGAAATCTAAATTATTAAACATTATATAAGATATTTTTCCTTTTATGGTATATATTTTAATTAAAAAATAGTAATAATACTATATTTGATATTTAATTTTTACGATCGTAATCTGTATAAAACAGATTACTGTATAATAGAGAAAATGTTTAAAATATTTACAATTAAAATAATATTATGTATATACTATATGTAAGTACTTTATGTTTAAATTAACTCAGATTTAGTAGAGATATACGTATAATAAAGCTTTTCTTATTAATCTTTTCAATGATTTTGTTTAAATTAATAAAAATAGGGGTTTTTTATATTAGTTTGAATGCATTTTCGGAAGAGAAACTCAAATATATATTTATTTTATTTATAATTAATTCTGATTTTTCTCTATAATCATAGCAATGAACTCACGCATTGATCCAAATCTCTTAGGATTTTAATCAACTGATTATTTCGTGAAATTATTTTTTAGACTAAAAATAATTATTAAATGTTTTATAATCTATACATTAAAAAAACTAAATAAAGTTTCTTTAATATTTTAAATAAAAATTTTGTACTAATTTTCAAATGAATTATCAATTTTATATTAAATTTTTTAGAGCATTTTCTTTAGTTTTTTTGTGATAATCAATAAAATAATTGCCAATAAATATATGCTAATAACAGTAATAATATTAGTAATAATAAAATATTTGAGTATTTTTATTATAACTATAATTGTATGTGTTTTTTGATTGTGAAATCAAACCCAGCAATTAGTATCAATGATAATACATATAATTTAAGTTAATTTTGCTGGCATTTAAATTAATGCTAAAATGTATATGCATTTTGAAAAACAAGTTGAATTATATTATATATATTATACTTCTGGTGGTAGTATACGGTAGGCATACAATTAGACAGGTATTTCATGTTAATATATATGATATATATATAGGACTCACCCAATCGATTCTGGGTGGCGGACAAGAGGGCGCCGGGTTATCCACACACGAGTCCACGTATGAGCACTGAGAGGAACACCAAACGCACTGGTATTTCTTGTCTCGAGTCTGACATAATGAACAGTCAGGTCTCGAGGCATGACTTCCCAGTAAATGGCATTTGTATAGCGTAACTGACAGATAAATAAACAGACAGACAAAAGAATATGAAATATTTAATATCAATATAAATATTGAATACAATGTTAAGAGAGTCTCTGAAAGATGAAAATAAAGTTTTTTTTGTGAAATGTCTTTTGTTATATTAAGTAAATAGTATTTATGATGTGATGTAAGATAAAGTGTGTGTATGTGTGTGTGAAAGAGAGAGAGAGAGAGAGAGAGAGAGAGAGAGAGAGATAAACCATGAATTCAATTGAATGAATTGATGGCTTGAAAATGACAAGAAATATACAGAAAAAACTTAATATATATCTGACCATTGGTTTTGTCAATAAACGTATCGCCGTTCCATAAGACAGTCAACTCTCCTTTCATTTCTCCCACATCTTCTTCATAGGTGTACTACAAATGTTATACAAAAAACAAAATACATTGTGTTATAAAATATAATAATAATAATAACGGCAAATGAATAAATGCCATCAAATATTGCAAAAGAGATACAATTGAGACTAAACTACAAAAAGATGTGTTGAGAAAAAATAGACAAAAATAGTATATAAGATATGAATGTATGAAATGATAATAATGAGTAAAATACCGGATAAAAGAAAGAAAGAGAGAAATGGTTGGATCAGAAAACAGGGATCAGAAGTGGAGAAAACAAGTGAAAGGAATGCAATCTTTATTAATGTTAGGTAACGGGTATTATATGTTGGGTTGTACTGTATTGGTTGATATCGCGACTTACAATCAAATAAATATATATCACATACTAAAACAAATTCAATACATACCACACTTTCGGCACAAATTACTTTATTATCTCTGACTCTGGCGAACACCCGTTCCTTTGCGCCCTCAATCTCGACAATACATTGGAATCCCTCCTAAAATGTTAGCAAAAAAATAGATGAAACAAATTTTTATTGTCAATAAAATGTATATAAAAACAAATTGCTGTTTGTTTTTATTACAATAAACTATTTAACTAATATTTAATAAAACTAACCAAAGATGAGATGAGATTTCTGACTTCAATAGTTATTTCACGTTTAGCGCCGTTAGGTATAAGTATCTCATTGTCGATACTAAATGATGGACAGTGCTGTCGGCCCTTAATTAATGAATTTTGATGACTCTGATGATGAATGTGCCAAACGTTTGGGTAAAAAATAAATAGATAAACAACAGACATAAGATTAATACATTCATATTTAATGTTTATAAAAATATATTACTCAGTAATACAGTATTTATCATTAATGTTATTAAATGTAAATTAATACTATTTATTATATACAGTATTTACTATACTGTATATTATATATCTTGAAAGCTAAATTAGGATAATAATTAATATATGAACAAAATTTTATTTCATTTATCATAAATTATTACATTAAATGCAATACTAAAATGACATTAATAAATATATAAATAAGTGTATCAACAAAATAAAAATCACTTATTTTAATAAATTTAAATACAGTTTAATTAAAGTTTTTGAATCACATATAATTTCGTATTAATTGTATTGCCTTAAGAAATATTAAATTTTCTCATTTATTCATTTAGTATTATAATTTGTGTTACCATAAATAATATTAAATTTATATTTAAAACATATTAAATTATATTAATTTATACATACATGATATAAGTAACAAAATACAACAAAATATAATTTTAAAATTAAATGCAATTTATTATATATTCAGATGCATTAAAATTATAATATAATTTTGTAATAACAAAACAATACCTTTTATTATATCATATTTAAGAATATCAAGTAAAGTAAAGTAAAATAGATATCAGACTAACAATTAAGTTGTGACTAATATTCATATGAATATAATTTTTTTTATTATAAAAGATTATTATTCTATAAAAAATCACTTTATTTACATTTCAATTGCAATTTTGTTTGAAAAAATAAATGCATGTATTTATTCTATTCATTCATTCATTCATTTTCTTTACTTTTTTTTTGAATTTTTATCAAGAATTTAAATAAATATAATATGCTTTATAAGTAAAAGATGATATAAATGTATCGCACATATAATAATAATAATAATAATAATAATAATAATAATAATAATATACTTATATATCTATATATAAAGTACTTTATGAATATATAAAATACATATACATTTTATGTTAAGGAATTTGAAATGAATGAATGATTTCTTAATTTAAAAAATTATATAATATATTATAAATATTATTACCGAATGTGAAAGAAATAAGAAAAACATATTTTTCTCAACAATATTTCTGACGATTATTATTATTATTATAAGTTTTTTAAGAATATATACATAAAAGTATAATAATAATGCTTGAAATGGGAATTAAATTTTAATTTAAAAAGTAATATATGAGTTCATATCTAATGTGTGAGAAAAAAATCCAAGTATTGTATGTAAAATAAAATCTAAAATGTGTGCATCAAATCTGTTTTAATAGTAACTATGCAATGAATAACCCCAACAAATGAAGCATTAGTTATAATGTAATGAATGTACTATACATTTATATTATGTATAATAAATATTTTTTGTATAATATTTAGTAAATTACAGTAATATTACATAAAAATAGATATCGAAATTGCATGCATTATAAGTGTGTGTGTGATATACCATACTAAATGCCATATCATATCAAATACAATTTATAATTTATATGTATTTACAAAATTTGCATAACAAAAGACATATATAAAGTATATATATATATATATACCGGTATACAGATAATATTAAAAGACTGAATTTTGTATGAGTTTTAGGGAAGTCATTGAAAACTAATATATTTTATATTAAGGGTTGGGCTCTAGTATTCACAATAGTAGGCACCGGGCAATAGTGCTGGTAGTAGTAGTAGTGGCGGTGTTTGTGTGATTGTGTTGTTTTACAAACACAAAAAAAAACATTCAAATAAATTTATGTTTTTCTTATGTATGCCAAAATAAAACTGCATTTGAAATGTAATTTTCTAAATGCATGCTATAAATAGTGTCATTTATATGCAATATCTTTTTTCAGTACACTTGCATTACATAATTTTATAGATATTTTTGTTGACTAATACAGGAAAGAAAAATAAAACATAAATTGGATTTAAAATTTTTTTTTATAAGACAAGTGAAGACATCACATGAGCCAAACAAAAACCAATATATTTGTCTATTATATTGTTTTTAGTTGTGAGTGTGTGTGTGTGTGTGTGTGTGTGTGTGTGTGTGTGTGAGCTTAATATGATAGTCAAAACGGTGATTATCATAAATATATATAAAATAAGTTTGTGTGCACACAAAAGTTTTTTAATTTATTTATATATAAAAAATTGCAAAACTTTTATGAATAAATTTAATTTAGCATAAAATCTGTTGAATATCAATGGGTTTCATATATATATTTAGGAAAACACCCGAACATTATGTCCACACAAAAAACTTGTTTAAATATTATATTAAACACATTTGAAAAAATTATTGTTTTTATTATTAATATTAAACATAATATTTGTCAAATTAAATGTGATTTAAGGTTTTGTTGAACCCTTTTACTTGTTTACAATAATCATAACTTTAATAATAAAAAAGACAGTTATGAAAAAAGACATGACTGGAAAAATGATAAAATATTAAAGCCTTTATCTACTATTAGTCCTAAAACTTTAGCTATCAATTTATGATATTAAATTCAATAGTCGTTAAACGCAATAGATTTTAAATTATAGTATTAAATAATATTAAATACTGTATAATAAACATCAATTACTGAGTAAAAAAATAATTGACAGCACAGGTATGTAACTTACATTTTCGCCGACAATCATCCTTCGGGCGCATTGGGATGTGTTATGTGTACACATGTTCTCATGCATACACCAATTGCAAGCCCACGAACTGGTAACACATGATTTGCATGTTTTATGGACACTGCAGTCATAAAATACGAACGACCGGTTAATGAAGTCGGTATCGGTTTCGCTACTCCTGACCGCCAGATTTACTACTGTATGATCTTCACCGGGAGGAATGGCAGGGCGGGAGGCAACAGATGGTGCCATACATGAAAGTCCATTACGGGAAACACGGGCAGGAATTGGCGATCCGACACCAAATACACACAAATAGTTTGCACCGTATGGTAATTGAGGCAATTGATAGATAAGTAGTTCAATATTAGAAACTGTATTGTAAGGCATGAACTCGGGTTTGATGGCCTGAAAGTCGATACATTGTGTCGTTTCTAAGGAAAGCCATCGCGGAGATGAGATAATGCGCTCAGATATACCCCAATTGGTGGCGTTATTACACTCTGACTTAACCGTACATCTCTTTTCTAGTGAACACCACCCGCAGTAAGGATTTCTGGCGGCCAAACACTGGTCACAATCATGATATTGGGTACACCTCTCGATCTTGACTTTTGATATTTTATAAGGTGACGATGCGATCACATATTTAGGGTGATGTTCGTGATCGAGATGTATGTCTCCAAGTATAGGATGACCCCTGTCTACAATCACATCCTCAAACTCTTCGCCCACTGTAGAGCCAGATATTAAAATCTTTTTGATGGCACCATCACTGGTACCGACAAAAGCAACGGTATGTTGACCGGTAACAGTGGCCGTAACAGCTGTTAATGTGGTATTTTGATAGACAATAATTGCCGTCGAAGTAATTGGCAACGAACCGTTCAGTTTGATTGCTTCGTTACAAAAATTCTGTATATTTCCAGCTTTCTGTAGACACCGGGAGATAAAAACATATGTATGTGAGTTATGTATTTATATATATATATACTGTATATACCGTATACGGTATATACAGTATATAAAACATTTTATATAATCTTAGCGCAAAATTAGTGCCAAATATACAGTAAATAAGTCTTAATATTATTAGTATTAACTCAGACTTATATTATGGTCTCTAATACCCAGAGCTGGCAATTCTTGATTTAATAGTAATGACATTAAAAAAAAGTGAGAAATTGCAGTCGTATTACTAAATTACTGTTATATTCTGTAACTAATACTGTTTTTTCAAGTAATAAAAGCATACATGAATTGCAACATAACTTGCTTTATATGAATCGAAAGTACATAGAAATGGCTTATAAATTGCTTCAATCATTAAAACCTTTTTTATATATATATGTTTCATTTAGTACCGTATGTTATGTTATATTATGTTTATATCTCATATAATATTTTGACAATTTTTCTGTATTGTTATTATTTTTTGTCCAAATAAATAAATTTATAGCGTATATTAATACAATTGATGAACATAAAAATGCTATTTTCAAAGAGAATATTATTGATATATATATATATAAACTGTTGTTTTATATGAAACATAGTGTATATACAGTACAATCAATGAGGACAGGAATGAAAATCAAGTTAAACCTATTATTGGGTTATCAGAAAAAGGCTTACTTTGCAACAATATATTGTCAGATACTAAAGTGTTATATAATGCAAATCAATAGCTGAGAATAAAGAATAAATAGCAAATAAATGTCAACACATTTCAATGTCATTTACTATCAGAGATAAGAGGGCACCGGCATGTGTTGATCACAATATTTAAATGTATGGCATGAGTGCAATGCCACACACTTACAGAAGTTATACACAAACAATGACAATGGCATACATTTTGAAAGCAACAAAAAAGGAAACTCAGTCATGTTTAGATACAATGTATTGATATCTGTGTGCAAAAACAGGGTTAAGGATAGGGAACTGTAGGATATAAATGAACAAAAATAGTGGCAATAAATAGCAGTTATATATTCTGTATTAAAGAATCTCAATATATATATAATATGTGAGTTTATGTGTGAAGTCAACTAAGCATATCGTGTTATAATATGGTTCGGAAATGAATGGCTGGTTGTTATGCTGACGAGTGCTTAATACATATCATACATATCTACAGTATATATGAAATAACATATAAATACATACTGTATATGAAAACCTAGTCTCTGGTAATATCAAGTACTAGTCCTAAAACTATGACTAAAAGGATTTATGAGCACTCATGAGCTCTAGTAATAACATAAGCCATAAATTTATCGTAATTAACATAAAAGATATTTAGTAAATATCTCGTAAAATATATACAGAATATTCTTTCCATTTAAATGTCTATTTATATATGCAATGACTGCCTGTTGTACTATTGTTTGCGCTCCAGTTATGTATAAAAATCATAATATTTAATATAAAAAAAAGAAAAAAATTATGATATATTAGTCTGAAAAATGTATATAATGTGTAAAAATATAATAAACATAGTTTTGCTTTATGTATTTTATTGTACTATTTGTTAATAACAATTTCAGACACCAGTGACTAAAAATGTATATTTTGTTAACTCTATTTATGTGTTTCTAAGTAATTCATTTACACATAAAATAAATTAAATAATAGTGTTATGAATGAACTAAAAAATATATACTTATTGTAAAGTATTATATAATATACAGTTATACCATATACAGTAATAAAGTATATTATTAAATAAATGATATACTCTAGTAATGGCAATATATCTTTGAATCATTGATATATGAGTTTTGACAATTAGAGACCATAACAGTTATCGCATAAACACAGCACTAACAGCACACTTACCCCGGGCTCCGGACACTCATTAACACTGCCGGCAATATAATCCATATTACGAGTCAAAACACTTCCATTATAGCACAGGTGTATGTTTTGGGTAAACTTGTGTTCAATTAGTGATAAGGGAAACACACAAACAGCCGAATACTGGTCGGGCTTTGAAGAGTGGTCTATACTCGAGGAGAACACTCCTAATAATACTTGTGATCCCCTTTCGATGCGAAACTCATCCGCCAAATCATTGCCGACTTTGATGACAATGGCGTCCTGTAATAGATTATATTCTTGGCCGTCCTGTGCCACACATTGAAGGGTCACTTCAGTGTATGTGTGAAATCCGGCGTCACTGACACAGACACGCGTCAAACGGCTTATGTAACCCCACTCTTCCAGCGCTCGTAAGTGTGATTTCCTTTGAACGGTTGCAAAATAAATGAAGTCATTTGCGTGAAAGCCATAAACATATTTCACGAGATAGTAATCTCTTAAATGAGAACTAATGTCGACTCTGGCGCTATCAGTAAATGACTTTTCAATAATATTGAATAATCGGGGACCGGATTCAAGAGACCGACTACTAATGGCCGGAACCATATCTCTATATGAACCAAGCCGTGAGTTGGTGGCCCCCACGTATAGCACTGGTATGGCGTTATGTGGACTAAAATACTTTGCCGGTCCGACTAAGGCTATTGTCGACGAGTTCTCATCATTAGAGGCAACGGGAACTGTAACTAATTCTTCTCTCTGTCCGATATCACGCAAACTATGTCTTTGACACGACCCCTGATGAACTGATCCACAGGCGATCAACATTTTGCTGAACGGGTCAATGACTAGCACTTTGTTTATATTATTCACATACGGTATTTGTGTCTCATCGACACCGTGACAATCGCCAGGTGAACACATTGGACTATCACGCAGTGGACCCGTTTGTACGGCCACTTCAAGAGTTAGATTAGCACTGAATTGATAGACCCAATTGGAAGCGCCGACATATATGTGGCCAGAGATCGGGTCGATCTCAATATGGGTAAAGTTGATGCTCTTGTTTGTTGTGGTATACGAGGCATACACTGGTGGTTCATATTGCATGTGTTGTTGTAGAGCATCACATATATTAACCACTGAAATCCACAAAATTAAACATAAATATAGAAATTTGTGAAAATTATGACGACTTTTCCTAAATACGGATCTCCTGTATAGACATTTGTTGTCGATAGTGACAACACAATTGTTATCATTGCCGTACATTTCATAGTCGGCTATACTCCATGTGCTCATAGTTTGCGTTGTTTTTGACTTATTGTCGACTTGTTTCTCGACAATCATTTTTCTCGGCGATATCTCATCGATTTATTATATGTTAAGACTTTATTTCTGGTCAGATATGAATTGCTGTCACAAAACAATGTACTTATCATTCCTCACAATCTTTAGAATACGACTTTCCTTTCGTTATTTTCTTTCTTTTTCTTGTAGGCCTTTCCTCTCCAATTGAATGCAATTTGTGTAGTGATATCACTGTAGCAATCAATAAATATTTTCACTTTTTTTGAAACCAAATATATTTTGCTTATATTTTCTTTCTTTTTCTATTATTTTCTTCACTCTTTATATAAAATATTATTACATTATTTTATATATCGCTTTGAGATTTAAGATCCACAAAAATATTGTGACCAAAAAAAAAAGGATCGCATCTGAAATTTAAAAAATATATATATAAAATCATATCGAGAAAAATTGAGTACTTAAAACTATATTAAGTAAAAATATATAGATATTATATATATATACACAATATAAATTAAATTGAAAAAATATAGATTGTTATTAAATAAAAATTTGATTTACGATTTAACATCTAAATAAAAAAAATCATATACAGTAAATTTATACGTAAAAAGTAAGTCAATTGGTAGGGAATGTCATAAAAGTATTTCTGGTAATTATTAAGAATTTAAAAAATTTCACATTATTTCTCCAAAAATTCAATATCTAGTGGAAAATTCTGGATTATATTTGAAAATATTTTCACATTCAAGTTAAACATTATATTATTTGCTACTTAAATAAAAATTTATATTATTTAGATAAAAATTCAATAACTGACAAATGCTATTAAAATATAATACTAAAAATATTCATTTCAAATGTATTCTAATTATATGTAAAACTTAGACAAATAGTTTTACTAAATATTGGACTCAGGAATTGTATATAAGTTTATTATTAATAAGTATTACAAGTGATAATAACACAACAAACATATGATATGATAATCTTTAACTTTATTTATTGATTACTAAATCAGTTGTCACACCGTTTAATCCAATCAATGATATTTTGAGGCAAAAGCAATGGTCAACACTAATGACACCGACATATACAGCTTGTCTTTTGGGAACGTAGCACAAGGAAAACTAGACGTAATTTATGAAAATAAAAAATTTATTTTTTAAATATAGTCATTCGATGCATAGCTCCATTCGGGATCTCCACATCTCGCTTTTTTATAGCGATCTTCATTTGATATATGCTTGTCCGCGAAGAAAATGCTTCAGACCACTAAACAACCAAAAGTCACACATTGCAAGGTCGGGGGAATATGGCGGGTGCGGTACAGTCTTGACATTATTTTTGGCCAAAAACTCTTGAGTCAGATAGTATGAACTCGGCTGTTGTCGTGGTGCAGTAGCATTCCTTTTTTTGCAGATCCCTCAATGACTTTAGGAAGACATTGTGTGGTGTACCACAAAGCCGTGGCTGTCTTCTGTCCGCATAACTTTACCGCGGCCAAAACCCGCCGTATTGAAAAATACGGCGTACATAACTTTTCCAATAGTTTTATCACGTTTGACAATATCGGGCGGTACCTCATCTTCAAACACAAATATCTTCGCTTCACGTGACAATTTTGGCTCATAATAGTGAACATATGTTTCATCACCTGTAGTGATCTTATCAATTAAAACATGTCCCTTATTCTTCCACATCTTTAGATTTTCTCGGCAAATGTTCACACGTTGTTGTTTTTGTTCATCTGATAGAAAGTGAACAATCAATTGTGCGATGAATGCCTGATCATTTCATTATCTTTTCGACAGCGGCCGCATTTTCAGGGGTCGATATAATAATAGCCAAACACTTTTCTTTCGCCATCTTTGAGTGACTGTACACCGAGTTTGAAATGTCGGATCCATTTGGTGATTGTACTGTAAGCAGTTACCATCCGATAATTTCGTTCGGGTCTTGTGTGGACAAAAACTCATTTAAATTATGACATTTGTGTTCCTCCGATTCCATTGGTATCACCGAAAAACTTCCGACCAGACCTCAAATGGTTATATCTTATACACGACTAGAGATAATTAGATGAAAATCATTGATATGTAATCAAAACCACGTGTCAACTTTTTTATATTATACCGTTTAGGTGGCGCTATTTCCCAAACATCATAGAATTTGCTTTCATTTGATATATTAAAAGCTATGATACAATATATATACAAACAAAACATTAAGATACTAATACTCACTCATTAATGGCTAACAATCAATTGGCTCATCATTTCATTGACTATAATAATAGCCAAACACTGACTGTACTGACACACATGTGTTGGCCGTTTGCTTCAGTTATTCGTATTAATCGTATATTTATTTCATTATTTTTCGAGTCAATAACCAAAAGTCATTGAAAATCGTACTAATAATTGGTATTAAACATCACAATAAATACAATATAATACACACAATAGTAATATAATTTTGCAAAACAAAACGGGAGTGCATTTTATCGCAAATATACACACATTGCTTGAAATACATTGCTTTTTAAAATATATATACTGTATATATATATATATTGTATGTTATTATTATTATCATTATTAATATATTAAATCAAATTAAATATAAATAGCTATTATTTTTTTTAGATACGATTACAATCTTTCTCAATAATATATGATATATATAACTATTTAATTCACTTCACTAGATATACGGTATATAATAGTTAGGGGGAGAGACTTGATATACTGTCTGTATATTCAATGTAATAATATTATTAATTTAAAACATCATATAAATTGTTTTCAAAAATAAACTACTTTTTTAAGACTAAATAGTCGACAAACGCCTCTTAATATATTGGCTTTAATAATAATATGAGAAGCCAACAGTACTGGGAGAGCTCTGGGATATGAATGAAGTGGTGCACCAGCACTGGCAATCAGTGAGGTTTGCAAGTGAGTTGAAAAATAAAGAGAGAGAGAGAGAGAGAGAGAGAGAGGCACCGATTGAAATGAGTTTAGACCACCAGGTTTTAGGATGTAATGATACCCATCCACTGATTGCTTTAACTTTTTTTTAGTAAAAACTTTGAGCTCTCTGTTTGAAAAATATAGTAATGGGTGGGAATTACAGGCAAATTGAGGGGAGATTTTTCATGCATTACAACATTATGGGCCCAAACACTAATACAACAGTGCCTTCTCGTATTAGTCTACTCTCTAGTATTATATGATCGTACAGGCATTGAACATAYTRTATGAGATGATGTAGTCATATTGTAGGCTATACTTTATACCAGTGCTTATAATGTTATGAACACAAGTGCACAAAATTATTACTGTCAAAAACATATCTACTGAAAATTATGTGAAAGACATACCCGAAATAACTCACAGCACACACACACACAAAATTACCCCAAAATGCTTAGATTAGTTGAGATTTTGAATAGACATGCAAGTAGTATAACATCAGTGAGAGAGAGAGGAAGCAATCATCTCCCTATCTCTCTCTCTCTCTAGTTTTGAGTTTTAGGCTTTAAGTCAATGTAAAGGCAAGTGTCGGGCGAATTGTTTTGGGGTCAAAACATAACTAAAATATTCGGAATATTTTTATTTTCGGTCTCACTCTCAATAATATCCAATATTTATCAGCTTTGGTGGCCTACAAGTGATATGAGAGATGGACTCACACTTTATTAATATTATAATTCTCTTAACATTTCTATTATTACGATATGAGACGAGTCAAGTGTCACACACACACACACACACACACACACATACATACATACATACATAAACAACAAATGATTATTATTGTTATTTATTACAATAATTTTCAACATTAACCTATTGTTCTGTTATAGCAATAATGTATGTGAAAAATATAAAATAAAATTAGAGATTAAATAGGAAAGAGAGTGATAAATCTGATTGTATTATTATATACGGTATAATAAAACTATTTATTTATTAATAGTTATTAATATTTGATTTAATTGAACTAACAGTGTGTCTGAATTTACAGTGTATACAAGTTTAATAAGGAAAAGTAATATATTATATAATAATAAATTTTGGTGTTTTATCAAATTGAATATATATATATATATATAGGTTGGTCTGCCCTCATAGGGATAGGTATTAGATATGAGAGATCCGCACAAATCGAAATCAATTAAATTAATGGAGTTTTTCACATATTTTTTTATTCACTGCAAATATTTCATTATCTTTTTATTATTATTATAGTATATTAAATTTATAAATACATTACATATTTCTATATATTTAGAAATATTGTGTGTGTGTGTGTCTTGCTATTTGAAATGTATTTGTGTGAAAGTTTTTTTCATTTAATAATAAATTAAAATTGAATAACATTTATGATAATCATAAAAATACTGCAATAATATAATAATATAGTAGTGTTGGTATTCAACCTAAAAAAAGTTAAACTAATGTATAATTGAATTTTATTTTACACATATTTTTTCTCTCATAGGAAAATTATGAACACATTTTTGCTATAAAAATATCGTTAAATGTAATTATACTTATAATATTATAAGTTTTTTTTTTGTTAAAAGTATCAATTTATAAAATTTCAAATATATTATAAACTAACAAGTATGAATCAAATTTCAAATAATATAATATTGTAAATATTTATTGTAAATGTAAATGTTTTATAAATAAGAAAACATCATTTGCAGTATTTACTTAGTGATATCATTAATAAGTATATAAATAAATGCATAAAACTTGATTGGATTGAATTATTTGATCAAACAAAACGAATTGTCCTTATTTTTAGGTCATATTTAGTTTATGGAAACAAAACAGACAACAAAACAATAATAATAATAATATTGCTTAAAATATTGCTTTTCATAATGTTATCAAAACTATAGAAAGAGGGATCAATACATAGAATTAATAGTACAGTATATATACAGTATATTTATATTATATGTTATTTATACAGTACTTTATATACAGATATCTCAATTGGAAATGAATGGCAAACAAAAGTGAATACAAACAGCAATTATTAAAGCAAAAAGTATTTACCAGAAAAACATGTAAAATGTTTTCTTATGGGATGAGAAGGGAATGCATAATAAGTTTTCATTTGCAACCCAACCGTTCACTCGGAAGACATCCCTTTAATAAGTAGTGTTCAGAGAGACAAACATAACACACATACACACGACTAATGTATTATAAGAAGTCAATAAACGATGCGATAGCTTACTGTGCCGATCATGTTATTGTATATTTCAAGTAATAGCCCAGTAATGAGTGTGTTTTGATTAACAGTACATATATATGACGGCCAAACCACACACTAAGAAACTCATATATTAGGCCAGCGGTCACAACCCACACATTACAAATGTGTATATTTTGTTTGATGTAAGGGCTATGGTTAAGGGCACTGGTATTTAGACATAGCGTCACTCAGTTAATACTTAAGTCTGAGAATTTTATACATATGTCGGATATTTCAATATAAACTTTGAACATATTATATATATTATTATTGTATATATTGACACATATTTGAAAGCAAATAGTAAACAAAATTTTGGTGCAAATCAATAGATTAATGAAATACATGTTATAAATAAGTTGTATCCAATATTAGCAAACATCTCTGATATTAACCACACTTTTATAAATCCATTTGTTTGGACACACAATATCTCTCTTACAGTAATATTGCGGTCAAAGACATCATCAAACTATTTATTGACTTTACTATTATTATTATTATTACTCGGTCTCTATGTTTGTGAACCGGGAGGAGGAAAGTCATTTTCATTGAACGTGAAACAAAATGATAGTCAATAAATAGTTGGTAAGATAGCAGTCCAGTTATATTATTTGACTCTGTGATGGTTAAACATTACTAAAACTTATTTTTCTAAAGGTTTTATATTATATATACGATAAAAGTTTTCATATAAAACTACAATCATTGAGCTTAAGGACTGGTATAGACTCTCAGTCCATGGATTTTATTACTGGTCTCGTGTTGTTTGATAACCACAATCTATGGGAACAGATATTATATTTTTGGTTTACGTGAAGACAATGGTGTTGTCTACAGATTATTATTAACTAACAGTCAACTCATTTCAATTGAGACTCTGGTATTTGTCAACATTTTTTTTGTAGCTCATCTACTGTAGCGCATACACACTAACAATCAAATATGTTAACCCTATCTCTAACCAATTTTTGTCAAATATTGTCCAATGATATGACAAATAAAGTGAATGGTTTTGTGGTATATGATATTGTCAACGACGACCACAATCGGTGAACCCATAGAAAGTCTAAATAATAATTACTGGGAAATAGTATCCAAACAAATAGAGAGACAATAATATTAATACAATTGTCTACTCTTTTGGTCCAACAAAAGCATTATATAGTAAGTCGTGAATTGCTAATCAAATCACTCGTTTATCTCACTATTTACACAAAAAACTATTTGCAATTTCACCGAACCTTTTAAACTCTTTTTTTTAATTAAATAGAGATTTTGTCTTTTAATAAAAGTTTTTGCAAATAAACGTTTAATGTGTTTATTGGACTTATCATATATACTGTATATACAGTATATATAAGAATAATATATTTTTTAATTAAATCGCAAACTGTTTTATTTAACAATTATTTTCTTAGTTTTTGTTGATTGAGTGATTTGATTACTTGACAAAAAATTGTTTTATTTATGATTATATTTTATAAGTATATATATATATATTATAAAATAGAAGACTATATTTATACAAATCACATAATTTTTAATTTAAAATTTAGCTCTATTTTAGTACATTTATATTATAATATTTATAATATTACAATATTTTATATTTATGTACATGTTTTGTTGAGTCAGTAATGAGAGAGAGAGAGAGAGAGAGAGAGAGAGAGAGAGAGAGAGAGATTCAAATATTTAATATATGATTTTAGTGGAAAACTCTTTTAATAACATTTTTCTCCATATATTTCACTTTCATATATAGTATTTGTTGAGATATTTCCGTATGAAATGATAAGACGAGAGGAAAAATAAAAGTTAATGTATTATTACTGTAATAAATATTTAGGACAAAAATACTTATGTTTATTCATCTAACAGACATCCTATCGACGACTGACTTTAATGTCAAAGTGATATATGCGCTCATATTTAATGGTATATACCATTCATAGAAATAATGGCAAATAAGTATTTATAAAATACATAAATTTCATAAATATTGTATTTTCTTAAGCAAATGGAGTGTAAAACTACAACTTTGTAATTAATGTTTTGTAAAATATTTGTTTTA